TGCTGGTACTGGAGGTGCTGGAGCTGGAGGTACTACAGGTGCTTCTGGAGTTGGAGGTGCTAGAGCTACCACTACTGGAGGTACTGGAGCTGGACAGCCACCGCAGCCTGCTCTACTTGAGACGCTCTCGCCGCAGGCGATTCGTGCATGGGTCGTTCTGCGAGGCAGTCCTGGTGGTGGAGGGTACGGTCCTGCTGGTGCTGGAGCTACTAGTCCAGGAGGTGCTGCTGGTGCTGGAGGTGCTGGAGGTACTGGAGCTGGTGGCACTGGAGGTGCTGGTGCTACTGGTGCTGGAGCTGCGGGATCTGCTGACCCTGGAGTTGCTGGTACTGCTGGTGCTGGAGGCGTTGGAGCTAGAGGCACTAGAGGTGCTGGAGGTACTACTGGTGCTCGAGGTGCTGGCGCTGTCGGAGCTCGTGGTGCTGGAGGTGCTGGTACTACTGGTGCTGGAGGTGTTGCTGGGGGTACTGGAGGAGCTGCTCGTGCTGGAGGTACGGGAGCTACTGGTGCTCTTCGCCACCTTCTCAGTCTTCCGCCAGGTGCTACTGGCTTCCTTGTGGCTGGTACTACTCCTCCGTTGCTGTGTCCTCCAGCGGACCAGTCACAGCCACCGCTGCTACCACACTCCCCACTGCCTGCTCCTGCTCCTTACACTGCGGTGTCAGAGTCCCTGACTGAGCGTCGAGAGCCTGAGACTCGTGCTTCCACCCCTGAGCGTCGAGAGCCTGAGTCTAGCTTTGACCTTGAGCCTGAGCCTAGAGCTGCTGTCCGTGCTCGTGTTCCTCGTGTTCGTCGTCCGCGTGCTCCGGCTGTCCCCGGCACTCACGATATGACACTCCGTCCTTCCTCTGTTCCTCAGCGTGTTGTACTACCGTTACCTCCTGCGTCCTCTCTGCCTCGCGTTGCTGACCCTCCGTCTGACCTTGCTCGTGCGTCCAGTCCGACGGTTACTCGCCTTCTTGCTACGGTTGTGACGGACCCTACGTTCTCGTCTCCTGCTGCGTCTGCCCTAGTAGCTGAGCTCGTTGACTTTGTTGCTGTGTACCGCCTAGACTACCTTGCGAGTCTTGTCTCTGACCCTGTCCCTGCCTGTCCTCCGTCCGTCGGGGGTGAGACTGCTCTTGGCTGTACTGCCCTTGGCTGTGACGTTCTTGAGGACAGACAGGAGGAGCTGGAGTGCCTTGCTGCCGCTTCACCCCATCACGCGACCATACTGCTTGCCCCTGAGGGAGACCCGGATGCACTTGACATCCCCACCCCGCGCTCCTACAGGGAGGCGATTTCGGGTAAGTACTCCTCTCAGTGGCAGACAGCCATGGACGCAGAGATGGCTTCCTGGAAGTCCACAGGCACCTACGTCGACGAGGTTCCCCCACCTGGGGCGAACATCGTCAGTGGCATGTGGATTTTCAGGGTGAAGCGGCCGCCGGGTTCTCCGCCTGCCTTCAAGGCACGTTACGTTGCTCGAGGCTTCAGTCAGCGTGAGGGGGTCGACTTCTTTCAGACCTTCTCCCCCACCCCGAAGATGACCACTCTTCGGGTGTTGCTACACGTTGCAGCTCAGCGTGACTACGAGCTGCACTCCCTCCACTTCTTGACAGCTTTCTTGCAGGGTAGCCTTCACGAGGCCATCTGGTTGCGCCGTCCACAGGGCTTCACTGGGTCGTTTCCTGAGGGTTCCCAGTGGAGCCTACGGCGACCAGTGTACGGCCTGCGTCAGGCGCCCCGTGAGTGGCACGACACACGGAGGACGACACTTGCGGCTCTTGGGTTTGCTCCTTCGACTGCTGACCCGTCGCTGTTTCTACGCACCGACACTACTCTGCCGCCGTTCTACATCCTCGTGTACGTCGACGACTTGGTTTTTGCTACTGCTGATACTGAGGCACTGACCCTATTGAAGGCGGAGCTGCAGGAGAGACACACCTGCACTGACCTGGGTGAGCTGCGGAGCTACCTTGGCTTGCAGATCACCCGGGACAGACCACGGCACACCATCACCCTCACTCAGTCACACATGGTGCACCAGGTCCTTCAGCGCTCCGGCTTCACGTACTCCTCGCCACAGCCCACTCCTCTGGCTACCGGCCACTCGCTCTCAGCTCCACCTTCGGACGAGTCCGTAGAGCCGAGTGGTCCGTACCCAGAGCTTGTGGGCTGCCTCATGTACCTGATGACGTGCACACGACCTGACCTCGCGTACCCTCTCAGCCTTCTGGCTCGCTACGTGGCACCCGGTAGGCACCGAAAGGTGCACTTTGATGTTGCGAAGAGGGTACTGCGTTACTTGTGCAGCACATCGGGCATGGGGCTCGTGCTTGGAGGACGGGGTTCGGTGGTCCTCACAGGACACTCTGACGCTTCTTGGGCCGACGACCAGGCGACTCAACGTTCGTCACAGGGCTACACCTTCAGTCTTGGCGCTGGTTCTGTCTCGTGGAGGTCCACTCGTTCTTCTTCTGTGCTTGGTTCCAGTTGTGAGGCCGAGATCTACGCTGGGGCCATGGCTGCACAGGAGCTCCGCTGGCTGACCTACCTGCTGACCGACTTGGGGGAGCAGCCTCGTTCTCCTCCAGTTCTGTACGTCGACAACAAGGCAATGCTTGCCTTGCGTCGCGAGCAGAGACTGGAGCACAGAACGAAGCACATTGCTCTGCGCTACTTTCTTGCGCGTGAGCTGCAACAGCGTGGTCAGCTGCGCCTTGCTTTCGTGGCCTCTCGGGCCAACACTGCTGATGTCTTCACCAAGGCCCTTGGGGCTGGTGATCATCAGCCTTTCTGCACTGCTCTTGGACTTGTGCCCACTCTGCCTCACCTGCTGGTTGCTTGACTTGCTCTTGTTGTACACTGCTCTATATCTTTATACCTGCATGTTTACTCTTGCTAGGTTGTGATCGGTGTACTGCCTTGCTATTATAAATCTGCATGTGAACTGGCCTTTTGGCCGCCTGCTTGTGCTCATATTGTGTGGTGTCCTTGAGATCCACCCTGGGCTTTGCCTTGCTTGTTCTCTTGCTTGACTGGTCTTGTGACCACTGTTAGGTTTGGTTATCCCCTACTTCACCTATGGGGGTGTGTCAAAACATAGAGTTATGTCTATTTCACTCTAGGTTGTGTAGGGGTCATCCCTTAGAGGGTACAACCCAATTCTCTCGATACTCTTGTACCCTCCCTCCCTTACCTAATCACCATTCTCACCTAGCTCCTAGCGTTAACAAGCCAATCATCACGCCCGAAAAAATATTGAGCCACCGAATACGTGACCCACGGGGAGCCCGCAGGATCGAATTTCTGATCCGCTGGAAAGACCGCACGCCCACCGAAGACAACTGGGTCCCCCTGGATAGAATTGAGAATCACCCTGTCCTGACTGAGTATCTGCGTAGCCGGAACTTTCAAGATGTACACGCGCTCTCGTAAGAGGGGCCTCCTTGGGGAGGGGGGTAGTGTAAGGAAAATTCCTTTTCCTTACTTCGCGTCCCTGCTTACCGCGTACATGCATGTTCCCGCCATCGGCACCCATCCGTGAACGTTACCCGCTCGCGACATTCGCCTCGACCACGACTCCCGCCACTGTTCACGATGCAACCCAACCTCACGGTTCGGTTGGTAACCCGCGCTCCGGACCTCCGCCTCGACAATTCCCAACCTCGGCGCTAGGCCCGTAGCGCACCCCAATTTCCCGCATTACCGTTACCACGCTAGCTTCGCTATATAACTTCGCTCATGCTTTTCGCTCAACTGTATTGTTTGCTTCGATAGTGCAATTCTCGCTCGCTCATTCAATTGCACTCGTAACACTAAGCATAGTATTACGTGTAACTGGAACGGATCAGTGCAACTTCATTCAAGCAAGAACATAGCACCCGTTTGTTCCTTGATCGCGTGGCAGGTGACAGGACTCATGGCGTCCACTCTTCGCTCATCCGCGCGCCACTTCCGCGCCGCCACCGCCGCCGCATTCGCCGCCCGCTCCGCACTCCCGCGCGCGCGCATCGCCGCCTCACTCGGATCCGCCGCATCGTTGCCGCGCGTCCACCAACACCCAGCACGGCCATTCGCCCTCGCGCCCTCTTCTCACGCCTCACCGTCACTGCCAGCACCACCGGCAGCATCAGACCTCCTCGCTCGCTCCTCCTTCGCGTCATGCGCGCCGTCCTTTTCCGTCTTGGCGCGAAGCACGGCGAGCTTTGATCGGATCGCAGGCGCAGGCAGATCAGCTCCGCAGACCTCACAGCCGTCGATTTCCGCATCATCCCCGCCACGGAGTTTCGACTCAGCCCAGAAACACCGACTCAGCACCCTTGTCGCGCTCCCGGGTGCGCTCGCTATCGGCCGCGTGCCCTCCGCCGCCTCCGCCCCGCCGTCGCTGCGCGCGGCGCACGGCGTAGTGGGTGCAGCGCGGGCGGCGGGCGCGGGGCAGGCGAGGGGCGTGTTTGTGGAGGTGAAGAAAGGCGACGTGGATCGAGCCATCAAGAAGTGAGTGGCGGGGGAAGTGGGAGAGGGGAGAGGGTGAGCTATTGGGGACTGAGGATAGGGTGAGGCATGAGGAAGCGAGCAATGGGGGCGCGGGGAAGGCGAGGGGCGTGTTCGTGGACGGGAAGAAGGGCACGTGGATCGAGCCATCAAGAAGTGAGTGGTAGTTGAGAGGGAAGAGGGTGAGTCGTGCTCTCACCCACCCATGCTGTCACGCACCCATTTGTGCATGCATGGTGCGAGCTTACAAGTGTTGGCATACATGCACGTGTGACGACCTGTGAGCATGCAGTCGAACATGCTCGTCAGTGCATATTCACGGTTGCAAGCAGCTTTGAGTGCAAGCAAGCAGTCATTTCCTTTGTGCTATCAGATTGAAGCTCGGCGCATAATTTCCTCTTCTGCTGCCTCCCCATGCTGCACTGTTGCCTCCCCTCCTCCTCCCTCCCCACCACTCCTCCACACACCCCCCCAACCCAAGCCCCCAACCTCCACACCTCTCCCCTCCTCCCGCAGGTTCAAGATCAAGCCACAAGGGGACAACGCCATAAGGGTGGCGAGGGCGAGGGCACCACTCTCCGCTTACCCCCCTTTCTCCCCTTCCCCTCTATCCGCAGGTTCAAGATCAAGCTACAAGGGGACAACGCCATAAGGGGGCGGAGCTGAAGCGGCTGCGCTCCAAGGAGGCGGAGATCAGGCGGCAGCAGCGCGACTTCCGGCAGAAGCTCGCCTGGATCATGGCCAAGCGCGCCAGGTGGGTGGGATGGGAGAGGGATGGTCAGGCGTTTCAGGTGTGGTGGGATGAGCATGGGGGCCAAGCCAAGCACTCCAGGTGGGATGGTCAGGCGGCAGCAGAGAGACTTTCGGCAGAATGGGATGGGCAAGCCGTCCAGGTGGGATGGGCAAGCCCTCCAGGTGGGTGAGATGCTGGGTAATGCAGCAGAGAGCATAGGTAATGCAGCAGAAAGCATGGGTAATGCAGCAGAAAGCATGGGTAATGCAGCAGAGAGCATGGGTAATGCAGCAGAGAGCATAGGTAATGCAGCAGAAAGCATGGGTAATGCAGCAGAGAGCATGGGTAATGCAGCAGAGAGCATGGGTAATGCAGCAGAGAGCATGGGTAATGCAGCAGAGAGCATGGGTAATGCAGCAGAGAGCATGGGTAATGCAGCAGAGAGCATGGGTAATGCAGCAGAGAGCATGGGTAATGCAGCAGAGAGCATGGGTAATGCAGCAGAGAGCATGGGTAATGCAGCAGAGAGCATGGGTAATGCAGCAGAGAGCATGGGTAATGCAGCAGAGAGCATGGGTAATGCAGCAGAGAGAATGGGTAATGCAGCAGAGAGCATGGGTAATGCAGCAGAGAGCATGGGTAATGCAGCAGAGAGCATGGGTAATGCAGCAGAGAGCATGGGTAATGCAGCAGAGAGCATGGGTAATGCAGCAGAGAGCATGGGTAATGCAGCAGAGAGCATGGGTAATGCAGCAGAGAGCATGGGTAATGCAGCAGAGAGCATGGGTAATGCAGCAGAGAGAATGGGTAATGCAGCAGAGAGCATGGGTAATGCAGCAGAGAGCATGGGTAATGCAGCAGAGAGCATGGGTAATGCAGCAGAGAGCATGGGTAATGCAGCAGAGAGCATAGGTAATGCAGCAGAGAGCATGGGTAATGCAGCAGAGAGCATGGGTAATGCAGCAGAGAGCATAGGTAATGCAGCAGAGAGCATAGGTAATGCAGCAGAAAGCATGGGTAATGCAGCAGAGAGCATGGGTAATGCAGCAGAGAGCATGGGTAATGCAGCAGAGAGCATGGGTAATGCAGCAGACAGCATGGGTAATGCAGCAGAGAGCATGGGTAATGCAGCAGAGAGCATGGGTAATGCAGCAGGGAGCATAAGTAATGCAGCAGAAAGCATGGGTAATGCAGCAGAGAGCATGGGTAATGCAGCAGAGAGCATGGGTAATGCAGCAGAGAGCATGGGTAATGCAGCAGAGAGCATGGGTAATGCAGCAGAGAGCATGGGTAATGCAGCAGAGAGCATGGGTAATGCAGCAGAGAGCATGGGTAATGCAGCAGAGAGCATGGGTAATGCAGCAGAGAGCATGGGTAATGCAGCAGAGAGCATGGGTAATGCAGCAGAGAGCATGGGTAATGCAGCAGAGAGCATGGGTAATGCAGCAGAGAGCATGGGTAATGCAGCAGAGAGCATGGGTAATGCAGCAGAGAGCATGGGTAATGCAGCAGAGAGCATGGGTAATGCAGCAGAGAGCATGGGTAATGCAGCAGAGAGCATGGGTAATGCAGCAGAGAGCATGGGTAATGCAGCAGAGAGCATGGGTAATGCAGCAGAGAGCATGGGCAATGCAGCAGAGAGCATGGGCAATGCAGCAGAGAGCATGGGTAATGCAGCAGAGAGCATGGGTAATGCACCAGAGAGCATGGGTAATGCAGCAGAGAGCATGGGTAATGCAGCAGACAGCATGGGTAATGCAGCAGAGAGCATGGGTAATGCAGCAGAGAGCATGGGTAATGCAGCAGACAGCATGGGTAATGCAGCAGAGAGCATGGGTAATGCAGCAGAGAGCATGGGTAATGCAGCAGAGAGCATGGGTAATGCAGCAGAAAGCATGGGTAATGCAGCAGAGAGCATGGGTAATGCAGCAGAAAGCATGGGTAATGCAGCAGAAAGCATGGGTAATGCAGCAGAGAGCATGGGTAATGCAGCAGAGAGCATGGGTAATGCAGCAGAGAGCATGGGTAATGCAGCAGAGAGCATGGGTAATGCAGCAGAGAGCATGGGTAATGCAGCAGAGAGCATGGGTAATGCAGCAGAGAGCATGGGTAATGCAGCAGAGAGCATGGGTAATGCAGCAGAGAGCATGGGTAATGCAGCAGAGAGCATGGGTAATGCAGCAGAGAGCATGGGTAATGCAGCAGAAAGCATGGGTAATGCAGCAGAAAGCATGGGTAATGCAGCAGAGAGCATGGGTAATGCAGCAGAGAGCATGGGTAATGCAGCAGAGAGCATGGGTAATGCAGCAGAGAGCATGGGTAATGCATCAGAGAGCATGGGTAATGCAGCAGAGAGCATGGGTAATGCAGCAGAGAGCATGGGTAATGCAGAAGAGAGCATGGGTAATGCAGCAGAGAGCATGGGTAATGCAGCAGAGAGCATGGGTAATGCAGCAGAGAGCATGGGTAATGCAGCAGACAGCATGGGTAATGCAGCAGAGAGCATGGGTAATGCAGCAGAGAGCATGGGTAATGCAGCAGAGAGCATGGGTAATGCAGCAGAGAGCATGGGTAATGCAGCAGAGAGCATGGGTAATGCAGCAGAGAGCATGGGTAATGCAGCAGAGAGCATGGGTAATGCAGCAGAGAGCATGGGTAATGCAGCAGAGAGCATGGGTAATGCAGCAGAGAGCATGGGTAATGCAGCAGAGAGCATGGGTAATGCAGCAGAGAGCATGGGTAATGCAGCAGACAGCATGGGTAATGCAGCAGAGAGCATGGGTAATGCAGCAGAGAGCATGGGTAATGCAGCAGACAGCATGGGTAATGCAGCAGAGAGCATGGGTAATGCAGCAGAGAGCATGGGTAATGCAGCAGAGAGCATGGGCAATGCAGCAGAGAGCATGGGTAATGCAGCAGAGAGCATGGGTAATGCAGCAGAGAGCATGGGTAATGCAGCAGAGAGCATGGGTAATGCAGCAGAGAGCATGGGTAATGCAGCAGAGAGCATGGGTAATGCAGCAGAGAGCATGGGTAATGCAGCAGAGAGCATGGGTAATGCAGCAGAGAGCATGGGTAATGCAGCAGAGAGCATGGGTAATGCAGCAGAGAGCATGGGTAATGCAGCAGAGAGCATGGGTAATGCAGCAGAGAGCATAGGTAATGCAGCAGAAAGCATGGGTAATGCAGCAGAGAGCATGGGTAATGCAGCAGAGAGCATAGGTAATGCAGCAGAGAGCATAGGTAATGCAGCAGAAAGCATGGGTAATGCAGCAGAGAGCATGGGTAATGCAGCAGAGAGCATGGGTAATGCAGCAGAGAGCATGGGTAATGCAGCAGAGAGCATGGGTAATGCAGCAGAGAGCATGGGTAATGCAGCAGAGAGCATGGGTAATGCAGCAGAGAGCATGGGTAATGCAGCAGAGAGCATGGGTAATGCAGCAGAGAGCATGGGTAATGCAGCAGAGAGCATGGGTAATGCAGCAGAGAGCATGGGTAATGCAGCAGAGAGCATGGGTAATGCAGCAGAGAGCATGGGTAATGCAGCAGAGAGCATGGGTAATGCAGCAGAGAGCATGGGTAATGCAGCAGAGAGCATGGGTAATGCAGCAGAGAGCATGGGTAATGCAGCAGAGAGCATGGGTAATGCAGCAGAGAGCATGGGTAATGCAGCAGAGAGCATGGGTAATGCAGCAGAGAGCATAGGTAATGCAGCAGAAAGCATGGGTAATGCAGCAGAGAGCATGGGTAATGCAGCAGAGAGCATGGGTAATGCAGCAGGGAGCATAAGTAATGCAGCAGAAAGCATGGGTAATGCAGCAGAGTGCATGGGTAATGCAGCAGAGAGCATGGGTAATGCAGCAGAGAGCATGGGTAATGCAGCAGAGAGCATGGGTAATGCAGCAGAGAGCATGGGTAATGCAGCAGAGAGCATGGGTAATGCAGCAGAGAGCATGGGTAATGCAGCAGACAGCATGGGTAATGCAGCAGAGAGCATGGGTAATGCAGCAGAGAGCATGGGTAATGCAGCAGAGAGCATGGGTAATGCAGCAGAGAGCATGGGTAATGCAGCAGAGAGCATGGGTAATGCAGCAGAGAGCATGGGTAATGCAGCAGAGAGCATGGGTAATGCAGCAGAGAGCATGGGTAATGCAGCAGAGAGCATGGGCAATGCAGCAGAGAGCATGGGCAACGCAGCAGAGAGCATGGGTAATGCAGCAGAGAGCATGGGTAATGCAGCAGAGAGCATGGGTAATGCAGCAGAGAGCATGGGTAATGCAGCAGAGAGCATGGGTAATGCAGCAGAGAGCATGGGTAATGCAGCAGAGAGCATGGGTAATGCAGCAGACAGCATGGGTAATGCAGCAGAGAGCATGGGTAATGCAGCAGAGAGCATGGGTAATGCAGCAGAGAGCATGGGTAATGCAGCAGAGAGCATGGGTAATGCAGCAGAGAGCATGGGTAATGCAGCAGAGAGCATGGGTAATGCAGCAGAGAGCATGGGTAATGCAGCAGAGAGCATGGGTAATGCAGCAGAGAGCATGGGCAATGCAGCAGAGAGCATGGGCAATGCAGCAGAGAGCATGGGTAATGCAGCAGAGAGCATGGGTAATGCAGCAGAGAGCATGGGTAATGCAGCAGAGAGCATGGGTAATGCAGCAGAGAGCATGGGTAATGCAGCAGAGAGCATGGGTAATGCAGCAGAGAGCATGGGTAATGCAGCAGAGAGCATGGGTAATGCAGCAGAGAGCATAGGTAATGCAGCAGAAAGCATGGGTAATGCAGCAGAGAGCATGGGTAATGCAGCAGAGAGCATAGGTAATGCAGCAGAGAGCATAGGTAATGCAGCAGAAAGCATGGGTAATGCAGCAGAGAGCATGGGTAATGCAGCAGAGAGCATGGGTAATGCAGCAGAGAGCATGGGTAATGCAGCAGAGAGCATGGGTAATGCAGCAGAGAGCATGGGTAATGCAGCACAGAGCATGGGCAATGCAGCAGAGAGCATGGGTAATGCAGCAGAGAGCATAGGTAATGCAGCAGAAAGCATGGGTAATGCAGCAGAGAGCATGGGTAATGCAGCAGAGAGCATAGGTAATGCAGCAGAGAGCATAGGTAATGCAGCAGAAAGCATGGGTAATGCAGCAGAGAGCATGGGTAATGCAGCAGAGAGCATGGGTAATGCAGCAGAGAGCATGGGTAATGCAGCAGAGAGCATGGGTAATGCAGCAGAGAGCATGGGTAATGCAGCAGAGAGCATGGGTAATGCAGCAGAGAGCATGGGTAATGCAGCAGAGAGCATGGGTAATGCAGCAGACAGCATGGGTAATGCAGCAGAGAGCATGGGTAATGCAGCAGAGAGCATGGGTAATGCAGCAGAGAGCATGGGTAATGCAGCAGAGACCATGGGTAATGCAGCAGAGAGCATAGGTAATGCAGCAGAAAGCATGGGTAATGCAGCAGAGAGCATGGGTAATGCAGCAGAAAGCATGGGTAATGCAGCAGAAAGCATGGGTAATGCAGCAGAGAGCATGGGTAATGCAGCAGAGAGCATGGGTAATGCAGCAGAGAGCATGGGTAATGCAGCAGAGAGCATGGGTAATGCAGCAGAGAGCATGGGTAATGCAGCAGAGAGCATGGGTAATGCAGCAGAGAGCATGGGTAATGCAGCAGAGAGCATGGGTAATGCAGCAGAGAGCATGGGTAATGCAGCAGAGAGCATGGGTAATGCAGCAGAAAGCATGGGTAATGCAGCAGAAAGCATGGGTAATGCAGCAGAGAGCATGGGTAATGCAGCAGAGAGCATGGGTAATGCAGCAGAGAGCATGGGTAATGCAGCAGAGAGCATGGGTAATGCAGCAGAGAGCATGGGTAATGCAGCAGAGAGCATGGGTAATGCAGCAGAGAGCATGGGTAATGCAGCAGAGAGCATGGGTAATGCAGCAGAGAGCATGGGTAATGCAGCAGAGAGCATGGGTAATGCAGCAGAGAGCATGGGTAATGCAGCAGAGAGCATGGGTAATGCAGCAGAGAGCATGGGTAATGCAGCAGAGAGCATGGGTAATGCAGCAGAGAGCATGGGTAATGCAGCAGAGAGCATGGGTAATGCAGCAGAGAGCATGGGTAATGCAGCAGACAGCATGGGTAATGCAGCAGAGAGCATGGGTAATGCAGCAGAGAGCATGGGTAATGCAGCAGACAGCATGGGTAATGCAGCAGACAGCATGGGTAATGCAGCAGAGAGCATGGGTAATGCAGCAGAGAGCATGGGCAATGCAGCAGAGAGCATGGGTAATGCAGCAGAGAGCATGGGTAATGCAGCAGAGAGCATGGGTAATGCAGCAGAGAGCATGGGTAATGCAGCAGAGAGCATGGGTAATGCAGCAGAGAGCATGGGTAATGCAGCAGAGAGCATGGGTAATGCAGCAGAGAGCATGGGTAATGCAGCAGAGAGCATGGGTAATGCAGCAGAGAGCATGGGTAATGCAGCAGAGAGCATGGGTAATGCAGCAGAGAGCATGGGTAATGCAGCAGAGAGCATGGGTAATGCAGCAGAGAGCATGGGTAATGCAGCAGAGAGCATGGGTAATGCAGCAGAAAGCATGGGTAATGCAGCAGAGAGCATGGGTAATGCAGCAGAGAGCATAGGTAATGCAGCAGAGAGCATGGGTAATGCAGCAGAAAGCATGGGTAATGCAGCAGAGAGCATGGGTAATGCAGCAGAGAGCATGGGTAATGCAGCAGAGAGCATGGGTAATGCAGCAGAGAGCATGGGTAATGCAGCAGAGAGCATGGGTAATGCAGCAGAGAGCATGGGTAATGCAGCAGAGAGCATGGGTAATGCAGCAGAGAGCATGGGTAATGCAGCAGAGAGCATGGGTAATGCAGCAGAGAGCATGGGTAATGCAGCAGAGAGCATGGGTAATGCAGCAGAGAGCATGGGTAATGCAGCAGAGAGCATGGGTAATGCAGCAGAAAGCATGGGTAATGCAGCAGAAAGCATGGGTAATGCAGCAGAGAGCATGGGTAATGCAGCAGAGAGCATGGGTAATGCAGCAGAGAGCATGGGTAATGCAGCAGAGAGCATGGGTAATGCATCAGAGAGCATGGGTAATGCAGCAGAGAGCATGGGTAATGCAGCAGAGAGCATGGGTAATGCAGCAGAGAGCATGGGTAATGCAGCAGAGAGCATGGGTAATGCAGCAGAGAGCATGGGTAATGCAGCAGACAGCATGGGTAATGCAGCAGACAGCATGGGTAATGCAGCAGAGAGCATGGGTAATGCAGCAGAGAGCATGGGTAATGCAATGCAGCAGAGAGCATGGGTAATGCAGCAGAGAGCATGGGTAATGCAGCAGAGAGCATGGGTAATGCAGCAGAGAGCATGGGTAATGCAGCAGAGAGCATGGGTAATGCAGCAGAGAGCATGGGTAATGCAGCAGAGAGCATGGGTAATGCAGCAGAGAGCATGGGTAATGCAGCAGAGAGCATGGGTAATGCAGCAGAGAGCATGGGTAATGCAGCAGAGAGCATGGGTAATGCAGCAGAGAGCATGGGTAATGCAGCAGAGAGCATGGGTAATGCAGCAGAGAGCATGGGTAATGCAGCAGAGAGCATGGGTAATGCAGCAGAGAGCATGGGTAATGCAGCAGAGAGCATGGGTAATGCAGCAGAGAGCATGGGTAATGCAGCAGAGAGCATGGGTAATGCAGCAGAGAGCATGGGTAATGCAGCAGAGAGCATGGGTAATGCAGCAGAGAGCATGGGTAATGCAGCAGAGAGCATGGGTAATGCAGCAGAGAGCATGGGTAATGCAGCAGAGAGCATGGGTAATGCAGCAGAGAGCATGGGTAATGCAGCAGAGAGCATGGGTAATGCAGCAGAGAGCATGGGTAATGCAGCAGAGAGCATGGGTAATGCAGCAGAGAGCATGGGTAATGCAGCAGAGAGCATGGGTAATGCAGCAGAGAGCATGGGTAATGCAGCAGAGAAGCATGGGTAATGCAGCAGAGAGCATGGGTAATGCAGCAGAGAGCATGGGTAATGCAGCACAGAGCATGGGCAATGCAGCAGAGAGCATGGGTAATGCAGCAGAGAGCATAGGTAATGCAGCAGAAAGCATGGGTAATGCAGCAGAGAGCATGGGTAATGCAGCAGAGAGCATAGGTAATGCAGCAGAGAGCATAGGTAATGCAGCAGAAAGCATGGGTAATGCAGCAGAGAGCATGGGTAATGCAGCAGAGAGCATGGGTAATGCAGCAGAGAGCATGGGTAATGCAGCAGAGAGCATGGGTAATGCAGCAGAGAGCATGGGTAATGCAGCAGAGAGCATGGGTAATGCAGCAGAGAGCATGGGTAATGCAGCAGAGAGCATGGGTAATGCAGCAGAGAGCATGGGTAATGCAGCAGAGAGCATGGGTAATGCAGCAGAGAGCATGGGTAATGCAGCAGAGAGCATGGGTAATGCAGCAGAGAGCATGGGTAATGCAGCAGAGAGCATGGGTAATGCAGCAGAGAGCATGGGTAATGCAGCAGAGAGCATGGGTAATGCAGCAGAGAGCATGGGTAATGCAGCAGAGAGCATGGGTAATGCAGCAGAGAGCATGGGTAATGCAGCAGAGAGCATAGGTAATGCAGCAGAAAGCATGGGTAATGCAGCAGAGAGCATGGGTAATGCAGCAGAGAGCATGGGTAATGCAGCAGGGAGCATAAGTAATGCAGCAGAAAGCATGGGTAATGCAGCAGAGTGCATGGGTAATGCAGCAGAGAGCATGGGTAATGCAGCAGAGAGCATGGGTAATGCAGCAGAGAGCATGGGTAATGCAGCAGAGAGCATGGGTAATGCAGCAGAGAGCATGGGTAATGCAGCAGAGAGCATGGGTAATGCAGCAGACAGCATGGGTAATGCAGCAGAGAGCATGGGTAATGCAGCAGAGAGCATGGGTAATGCAGCAGAGAGCATGGGTAATGCAGCAGAGAGCATGGGTAATGCAGCAGAGAGCATGGGTAATGCAGCAGAGAGCATGGGTAATGCAGCAGAGAGCATGGGTAATGCAGCAGAGAGCATGGGTAATGCAGCAGAGAGCATGGGCAATGCAGCAGAGAGCATGGGCAATGCAGCAGAGAGCATGGGTAATGCAGCAGAGAGCATGGGTAATGCAGCAGAGAGCATGGGTAATGCAGCAGAGAGCATGGGTAATGCAGCAGAGAGCATGGGTAATGCAGCAGAGAGCATGGGTAATGCAGCAGAGAGCATGGGTAATGCAGCAGAGAGCATGGGTAATGCAGCAGACAGCATGGGTAATGCAGCAGAGAGCATGGGTAATGCAGCAGAGAGCATGGGTAATGCAGCAGAGAGCATGGGTAATGCAGCAGAGAGCATGGGTAATGCAGCAGAGAGCATGGGTAATGCAGCAGAGAGCATGGGTAATGCAGCAGAGAGCATGGGTAATGCAGCAGAGAGTATGGGTAATGCAGCAGAGAGCATGGGCAATGCAGCAGAGAGCATGGGCAATGCAGCAGAGAGCATGGGTAATGCAGCAGAGAGCATGGGTAATGCAGCAGAGAGCATGGGTAATGCAGCAGAGAGCATGGGTAATGCAGCAGAGAGCATGGGTAATGCAGCAGAGAGCATGGGTAATGCAGCAGAGAGCATGGGTAATGCTGCAGAGAGCATGGGTAATGCAGCAGAGAGCATAGGTAATGCAGCAGAAAGCATGGGTAATGCAGCAGAGAGCATGGGTAATGCAGCAGAGAGCATAGGTAATGCAGCAGAGAGCATAGGTAATGCAGCAGAAAGCATGGGTAATGCAGCAGAGAGCATGGGTAATGCAGCAGAGAGCATGGGTAATGCAGCAGAGAGCATGGGTAATGCAGCAGAGAGCATGGGTAATGCAGCAGAGAGCATGGGTAATGCAGCACAGAGCATGGGCAATGCAGCAGAGAGCATGGGTAATGCAGCAGAGAGCATAGGTAATGCAGCAGAAAGCATGGGTAATGCAGCAGAGAGCATGGGTAATGCAGCAGAGAGCATGGGTAATGCAGCAGAGAGCATGGGTAATGCAGCAGAGAGCATGGGTAATGCAGCAGAGAGCATGGGTAATGCAGCAGAGAGCATGGGTAATGCAGCAGAGAGCATGGGTAATGCAGCAGAGAGCATGGGTAATGCAGCAGACAGCATGGGTAATGCAGCAGAGAGCATGGGCAATGCAGCAGAGAGCATGGGTAATGCAGCAGAGAGCATGGGTAATGCAGCAGAGAGCATGGGTAATGCAGCAGAAAGCATGGGTAATGCAGCAGAAAGCATGGGTAATGCAGCAGAGAGCATGGGTAATGCAGCAGAGAGCATGGGTAATGCAGCAGAGAGCATGGGTAATGCAGCAGAGAGCATGGGTAATGCAGCAGAGAGCATGGGTAATGCAGCAGAGAGCATGGGTAATGCAGCAGAGAGCATAGGTAATGCAGCAGAGAGCATGGGTAATGCAGCAGAGAGCATGGGTAATGCAGCAGAGTGCATGGGTAATGCAGCAGAGAGCATGGGTAATGCAGCAGAGAGCATGGGTAATGCAGCAGAGAGCATGGGTAATGCAGCAGAGAGCATGGGTAATGCAGCAGAGAGCATGGGTAATGCAGCAGAGAGCATAGGTAATGCAGCAGAAAGCATGGGTAATGCAGCAGAGAGCATGGGTAATGCAGCAGAGAGCATGGGTAATGCAGCAGAAAGCATGGGTAATGCAGCAGACAGCATGGGTAATGCAGCAGAGAGCATGGGTAATGCAGCAGAGAGCATGGGTAATGCAGCAGAGAGCATGGTTAATGCAGCAGAGAGCATGGGTAATGCAGCAGAGAGCATGGGTAATGCAGCAGAGAGCATGGGTAATGCAGCAGAGAGCATGGGTAATGCAGCAGAGAGCATGGGTAATGCAGCAGAGAGCATGGGTAATGCAGCAGAGAGCATGGGTAATGCAGCAGAGAGCATGGGTAATGCAGCAGAGAGCATGGGTAATGCAGCAGAGAGCATGGGTAATGCAGCAGAGAGCATGGGTAATGCAGCAGAGAGCATGGGTAATGCAGCAGACAGCATGGGTAATGCAGCAGAGAGCATAGGTAATGCAGCAGAAAGCATGGGTAATGCAGCAGAGAGCATGGGTAATGCAGCAGAGAGCATGGGTAATGCAGCAGAGAGCATGGGTAATGCAGCAGAGAGCATGGGTAATGCAGCAGAGAGCATAGGTAATGCAGCAGAAAGCATGGGTAATGCAGCAGAGCATGGGTAATGCAGCAGAGAGCATGGGTAATGCAGCAGAGAGCATGGGTAATGCAGCAGAGAGCATGGGTAATGCAGCAGAGAGCATGGGTAATGCAGCAGAGAGCATGGGTAATGCAGCAGAGAGCATGGGTAATGCAGCAGAGAGCATGGGTAATGCAGCAGAGAGCATGGGTAATGCAGCAGAGAGCATGGGTAATGCAGCAGAGAGCATGGGTAATGCAGCAGAGAGCATGGGTAATGCAGCAGAGAGCATGGGTAATGCAGCAGAGAGCATGGGTAATGCAGCAGAGAGCATGGGTAATGCAGCAGAGAGCATGGGTAATGCAGCAGAGAGCATGGGTAATGCAGCAGAGAGCATGGGTAATGCAGCAGAGAGCATGGGTAATGCAGCAGAGAGCATGGGTAATGCAGCAGAGAGCATGGGTAATGCAGCAGAGAGCATGGGTAATGCAGCAGAGAGCATGGGTAATGCAGCAGAGAGCATAGGTAATGCAGCAGAAAGCATGGGTAATGCAGCAGAGAGCATGGGTAATGCAGCAGAGAGCATGGGTAATGCAGCAGGGAGCATAAGTAATGCAGCAGAAAGCATGGGGGCCAAGCCAAGCACTCCAGGTGGGATGGTCAGGCGGCAGCAGAGAGACTTTCGGCAGAATGGGATGGGCAAGCCGTCCAGGTGGGATGGGCAAGCCCTCCAGGTGGGTGAGATGCTGGGTAATGCAGCAGAGAGCATAGGTAATGCAGCAGAAAGCATGGGTAATGCAGCAGAAAGCATGGGTAATGCAGCAGAGAGCATGGGTAATGCAGCAGAGAGCATAGGTAATGCAGCAGAAAGCATGGGTAATGCAGCAGAGAGCATAGGTAATGCAGCAGAAAGCATGGGTAATGCAGCAGAGAGCATGGGTAATGCAGCAGAGAGCATAGGTAATGCAGCAGAGAGCATAGGTAATGCAGCAGAAAGCATGGGTAATGCAGCAGAGAGCATGGGTAATGCAGCAGAGAGCATGGGTAATGCAGCAGAGAGCATGGGTACTGCAGCAGAGAGCATGGGTAATGCAGCAGAGAGCATGGGTAATGCAGCAGAGAGCATGGGTAATGCAGCAGAGAGCATGGGTAATGCAGCAGAGAGCATGGGTAATGCAGCAGAGAGCATGGGTAATGCAGCAGAGAGCATGGGTAATGCAGCAGAGAGCATGGGCAATGCAGCAGAGAGCATGGGCAATGCAGCAGAGAGCATGGGTAATGCAGCAGAGAGCATGGGTAATGCAGCAGAGAGCATGGGTAATGCAGCAGAGAGCATGGGTAATGCAGCAGAGAGCATGGGTAATGCAGCAGAGAGCATGGGTAATGCAGCAGAGAGCATGGGTAATGCAGCAGAGAGCATGGGTAATGCAGCAGAGAGCATGGGTAATGCAGCAGAGAGCATGGGCAATGCAGCAGAGAGCATGGGCAATGCAGCAGAGAGCATGGGTAATGCAGCAGAGAGCATGGGTAATGCAGCAGAGAGCATGGGTAATGCAGCAGAGAGCATGGGTAATGCAGCAGAGCATGGGTAATGCAGCAGAGAGCATGGGTAATGCAGCAGAGAGCATGGGTAATGCAGCAGAGAGTATGGGTAATGCAGCAGAGAGCATGGGTAATGCAGCAGAGAGCATGGGTAATGCAGCAGAGAGCATGGGTAATGCAGCAGAGAGCATGGGTAATGCAGCAGAGAGCATGGGTAATGCAGCAGAGAGCATGGGTAATGCAGCAGAGAGCATGGGTAATGCAGCAGAGAGCATGGGCAATGCAGCAGAGAGCATGGGTAATGCAGCAGAGAGCATGGGTAATGCAGCAGAGAGCATGGGTAATGCAGCAGAGAGCATGGGTAATGCAGCAGAGAGCATAGGTAATGCAGCAGAAAGCATGGGTAATGCAGCAGAGAGCATGGGTAATGCAGCAGAGAGCATGGGTAATGCAGCAGAGAGCATGGGTAATGCAGCAGAGAGCATGGGTAATGCAGCAGAGAGCATGGGTAATGCAGCAGAGAGCATGGGTAATGCAGCAGAGAGCATGGGTAATGCAGCAGAGAGCATGGGTAATGCAGCAGAGAGCATGGGTAATGCAGCAGAGAGCATGGGTAATGCAGCAGAGAGCATGGGTAATGCAGCAGAGAGCATGGGTAATGCAGCAGAGAGCATGGGTAATGCAGCAGAGAGCATGGGTAATGCAGCAGAGAGCATGGGTAATGCAGCAGAGAGCATGGGTAATGCAGCAGAGAGCATGGGTAATGCAGCAGAGAGCATGGGTAATGCAGCAGAGAGCATGGGTAATGCAGCAGAGAGCATGGGTAATGCAGCAGAGAGCATGGGTAATGCAGCAGAGAGCATGGGTAATGCAGCAGAGAGCATGGGTAATGCAGCAGAGAGCATGGGTAATGCAGCAGAGAGCATGGGTAATGCAGCAGAGAGCATGGGTAATGCAGCAGAGAGCATGGGTAATGCAGCAGAGAGCATGGGTAATGCAGCAGAGAGCATGGGTAATGCAGCAGAGAGCATGGGTAATGCAGCAGAGAGCATGGGTAATGCAGCAGAGAGCATGGGTAATGCAGCAGAGAGCATGGGTAATGCAGCAGAGAGCATGGGTAATGCAGCAGAGAGCATGGGTAATGCAGCAGAGAGCATGGGTAATGCAGCAGAGAGCATGGGTAATGCAGCAGAGAGCATGGGTAATGCAGCAGAGAGCATGGGTAATGCAGCAGAGAGCATGGGTAATGCAGCAGAGAGCATGGGTAATGCAGCAGAGAGCATGGGTAATGCAGCAGAGAGCATGGGTAATGCAGCAGAGAGCATGGGTAATGCAGCAGAGAGCATGGGTAATGCAGCAGAGAGCATGGGTAATGCAGCAGAGAGCATGGGTAATGCAGCAGAGAGCATGGGTAATGCAGCAGAGAGCATGGGTAATGCAGCAGAGAGCATGGGTAATGCAGCAGAGAGCATGGGTAATGCAGCAGAGAGCATGGGTAATGCAGCAGAGAGCATGGGTAATGCAGCAGAGAGCATGGGTAATGCAGCAGAGAGCATGGGTAATGCAGCAGAGAGCATGGGTAATGCAGCAGAGAGCATGGGTAATGCAGCAGAGAGCATGGGTAATGCAGCAGAGAGCATGGGTAATGCAGCAGAGAGCATGGGTAATGCAGCAGAGAGCATGGGTAATGCAGCAGAGAGCATGGGTAATGCAGCAGAGAGCATGGGTAATGCAGCAGAGAGCATGGGTAATGCAGCAGAGAGCATGGGTAATGCAGCAGAGAGCATGGGTAATGCAGCAGAGAGCATGGGTAATGCAGCAGAGAGCATGGGTAATGCAGCAGAGAGCATGGGTAATGCAGCAGAGAGCATGGGTAATGCAGCAGAGAGCATGGGTAATGCAGCAGAGAGCATGGGTAATGCAGCAGAGAGCATGGGTAATGCAGCAGAGAGCATGGGTAATGCAGCAGAGAGCATGGGTAATGCAGCAGAGAGCATGGGTAATGCAGCAGAGAGCATGGGTAATGCAGCAGAGAGCATGGGTAATGCAGCAGAGAGCATGGGTAATGCAGCAGAGAGCATGGGTAATGCAGCAGAGAGCATGGGTAATGCAGCAGAGAGCATGGGTAATGCAGCAGAGAGCATGGGTAATGCAGCAGAGAGCATGGGTAATGCAGCAGAGAGCATGGGTAATGCAGCAGAGAGCATGGGTAATGCAGCAGAGAGCATGGGTAATGCAGCAGAGAGCATGGGTAATGCAGCAGAGAGCATGGGTAATGCAGCAGAGAGCATGGGTAATGCAGCAGAGAGCATGGGTAATGCAGCAGAGAGCATGGGTAATGCAGCAGAGAGCATGGGTAATGCAGCAGAGAGCATGGGTAATGCAGCAGAGAGCATGGGTAATGCAGCAGAGAGCATGGGTAATGCAGCAGAGAGCATGGGTAATGCAGCAGAGAGCATGGGTAATGCAGCAGAGAGCATGGGTAATGCAGCAGAGAGCATGGGTAATGCAGCAGAGAGCATGGGTAATGCAGCAGAGAGCATGGGTAATGCAGCAGAGAGCATGGGTAATGCAGCAGAGAGCATGGGTAATGCAGCAGAGAGCATGGGTAATGCAGCAGAAGCATGGGTAATGCAGCAGAGAGCATGGGTAATGCAGCAGAGAGCATGGGTAATGCAGCAGAGAGCATGGGCAATGCAGCAGAGAGCATGGGCAATGCAGCAGAGAGCATGGGTAATGCAGCAGAGAGCATGGGTAATGCAGCAGAGAGCATGGGTAATGCAGCAGAGAGCATGGGTAATGCAGCAGAGAGCATGGGTAATGCAGCAGAGAGCATGGGTAATGCAGCAGAGAGCATGGGTAATGCAGCAGAGAGCATGGGTAATGCAGCAGAGAGCATGGGTAATGCAGCAGAGAGCATGGGTAATGCAGCAGAGAGCATGGGTAATGCAGCAGAGAGCATGGGTAATGCAGCAGAGAGCATGGGTAATGCAGCAGAGAGCATAGGTAATGCAGCAGAGAGCATAGGTAATGCAGCAGAAAGCATGGGTAATGCAGCAGAGAGCATGGGTAATGCAGCAGAGAGCATGGGTAATGCAGCAGAGAGCATGGGTAATGCAGCAGAGAGCATGGGTAATGCAGCAGAGAGCATGGGTAATGCAGCAGAGAGCATGGGTAATGCAGCAGAGAGCATGGGTAATGCAGCAGACAGCATGGGTAATGCAGCAGAGAGCATGGGTAATGCAGCAGAGAGCATGGGTAATGCAGCAGAGAGCATGGGTAATGCAGCAGACAGCATGGGTAATGCAGCAGAGAGCATAGGTAATGCAGCAGAAAGCATGGGTAATGCAGCAGAGAGCATGGGTAATGCAGCAGAGAGCATAGGTAATGCAGCAGAGAGCATAGGTAATGCAGCAGAAAGCATGGGTAATGCAGCAGAGAGCATGGGTAATGCAGCAGAGAGCATGGGTAATGCAGCAGAGAGCATGGGTAATGCAGCAGAGAGCATGGGTAATGCAGCAGAGAGCATGGTTAATGCAGCAGAGAGCATGGGTAATGCAGCAGAGAGCATGGGTAATGCAGCAGAGAGCATGGGTAATGCAGCAGAGAGCATGGGTAATGCAGCAGAGAGCATAGGTAATGCAGCAGAAAGCATGGGTAATGCAGCAGAGAGCATGGGTAATGCAGCAGAGAGCATGGGTAATGCAGCAGAGAGCATGGGTAATGCAGCAGAGAGCATGGGTAATGCAGCAGAGAGCATGGGTAATGCAGCAGAGAGCATGGGCAATGCAGCAGAGAGCATGGGTAATGCAGCAGAGAGCATGGGTAATGCAGCAGAGAGCATGGGTAATGCAGCAGAGAGCATGGGTAATGCAGCAGAGAGCATGGGTAATGCAGCAGAGAGCATGGGTAATGCAGCAGAGAGCATGGGTAATGCAGCAGAGAGCATGGGTAATGCAGCAGAGAGCATGGGTAATGCAGCAGAGAGCATAGGTAATGCAGCAGAGAGCATGGGTAATGCAGCAGAGAGCATGGGTAATGCAGCAGAGAGCATGGGCAATGCAGCAGAGAGCATGGGTAATGCAGCAGAGAGCATGGGTAATGCAGCAGAGAGCATGGGTAATGCAGCAGAGAGCATGGGTAATGCAGCAGAAAGCATGGGTAATGCAGCAGAGAGCATGGGTAATGCAGCAGAGAGCATGGGTAATGCAGCAGAGAGCATGGGTAATGCAGCAGAGAGCATGGGTAATGCAGCAGAGAGCATGGGTAATGCAGCAGAGAGCATGGGTAATGCAGCAGAGAGCATGGGTAATGCAGCAGAGAGCATGGGTAATGCAGCAGAGAGCATGGGTAATGCAGCAGAGAGCATGGGTAATGCAGCAGAGAGCATGGGTAATGCAGCAGAGAGCATGGGTAATGCAGCAGAGAGCATGGGTAATGCAGCAGAGAGCATGGGTAATGCAGCAGAGAGCATGGGTAATGCAGCAGAAAGCATGGGTAATGCAGCAGAGAGCATGGGTAATGCAGCAGAGAGCATGGGTAATGCAGCAGAGAGCATGGGTAATGCAGCAGAGAGCATGGGTAATGCAGCAGAGAGCATGGGTAATGCAGCAGAGAGCATGGGTAATGCAGCAGAGAGCATGGGCAATGCAGCAGAGAGCATGGGCAATGCAGCAGAGAGCATGGGTAATGCAGCAGAGAGCATGGGTAATGCAGCAGAGAGCATGGGTAATGCAGCAGAGATCATGGGTAATGCAGCAGAGAGCATGGGTAATGCAGCAGAGAGCATGGGTAATGCAGCAGAGAGCATGGGTAATGCAGCAGAGAGCATGGGTAATGCAGCAGAGAGCATGGGTAATGCAGCAGAGAGCATGGGTAATGCAGCAGAGAGCATGGGTAATGCAGCAGAGAGCATGGGTAATGCAGCAGAGAGCATGGGTAATGCAGCAGAGAGCATGGGTAATGCAGCAGAGAGCATGGGTAATGCAGCAGAGAGCATGGGTAATGCAGCAGAGAGCATGGGTAATGCAGCAGAGAGGATGGGTAATGCAGCAGAGAGCATGGGCAATGCAGCAGAGAGCATGGGCAATGCAGCAGAGAGCATGGGTAATGCAGCAGAGAGCATGGGTAATGCAGCAGAGAGCATGGGTAATGCAGCAGAGAGCATAGGTAATGCAGCAGAGAGCATGGGTAATGCAGCAGAGAGCATGGGTAATGCAGCAGAGAGCATGGGTAATGCAGCAGAGAGCATGGGTAATGCAGCAGAGAGCATGGGTAATGCAGCAGAGAGCATGGGTAATGCAGCAGAGAGCATGGGTAATGCAGCAGAGAGCATGGGTAATGCAGCAGAGAGCATGGGTAATGCAGCAGAGAGCATGGGTAATGCAGCAGAGAGCATGGGCAATGCAGCAGAGAGCATGGGCAATGCAGCAGAGAGCATGGGTAATGCAGCAGAGAGCATGGGTAATGCAGCAGAGAGCATGGGTAATGCAGCAGAGAGCATGGGTAATGCAGCAGAGAGCATGGGTAATGCAGCAGAGAGCATGGGCAATGCAGCAGAGAGCATGGGCAATGCAGCAGAGAGCATGGGTAATGCAGCAGAGAGCATGGGTAATGCAGCAGAGAGCATGGGTAATGCAGCAGAGATCATGGGTAATGCAGCAGAGAGCATGGGTAATGCAGCAGAGAGCATGGGTAATGCAGCAGAGAGCATGGGTAATGCAGCAGAGAGCATGGGTAATGCAGCAGAGAGCATGGGTAATGCAGCAGAGAGCATGGGTAATGCAGCAGAGAGCATGGGTAATGCAGCAGAGAGCATGGGTAATGCAGCAGAGAGCATGGGTAATGCAGCAGAGAGCATAGGTAATGCAGCAGAGAGCATGGGTAATGCAGCAGAAAGCATGGGTAATGCAGCAGAGAGCATGGGTAATGCAGCAGAGAGCATGGGTAATGCAGCAGAGAGCATGGGTAATGCAGCAGAGAGCATGGGTAATGCAGCAGAGAGCATGGGTAATGCAGCAGAGAGCATGGGTAATGCAGCAGAGAGCATGGGTAATGCAGCAGACAGCATGGGTAATGCAGCAGAGAGCATGGGTAATGCAGCAGAGAGCATGGGTAATGCAGCAGACAGCATGGGTAATGCAGCAGAGAGCATAGGTAATGCAGCAGAAAGCATGGGTAATGCAGCAGAGAGCATGGGTAATGCAGCAGAGAGCATGGGTAATGCAGCAGAGAGCATGGGTAATGCAGCAGAGAGCATGGGTAATGCAGCAGAGAGCATGGGTAATGCAGCAGAGAGCATGGGTAATGCAGCAGAGAGCATGGGTAATGCAGCAGAGAGCATGGGTAATGCAGCAGAGAGCATGGGTAATGCAGCAGAGAGCATGGGTAATGCAGCAGAGAGCATGGGTAATGCAGCAGAGAGCATGGGTAATGCAGCAGAGAGCATGGGTAATGCAGCAGAGAGCATGGGTAATGCAGCAGAGAGCATGGGTAATGCAGCAGAGAGCATGGGTAATGCAGCAGAGAGCATGGGTAATGCAGCAGAGAGCATAGGTAATGCAGCAGAGAGCATGGGAAATGCAGCAGAGAGCATGGGTAATGCAGCAGAGAGCATGGGTAATGCAGCAGAGAGCATGGGTAATGCAGCAGAGAGCATGGGTAATGCAGCAGAGAGCATGGGTAATGCAGCAGAGAGCATGGGTAATGCAGCAGAGAGCATGGGTAATGCAGCAGAGAGCATGGGTAATGCAGCAGAGAGCATGGGTAATGCAGCAGAGAGCATGGGCAATGCAGCAGAGAGCATGGGTAATGCAGCAGAGAGCATGGGTAATGCAGCAGAGAGCATGGGTAATGCAGCAGAGAGCATGGGTAATGCAGCAGAGAGCATGGGTAATGCAGCAGAGAGCATGGGTAATGCAGCAGAGAGCATGGGTAATGCAGCAGAGAGCATGGGTAATGCAGCAGAGAGCATGGGTAATGCAGCAGAGAGCATGGGTAATGCAGCAGAGAGCATGGGTAATGCAGCAGAGAGCATGGGTAATGCAGCAGAGAGCATGGGTAATGCAGCAGAGAGCATGGGTAATGCAGCAGAGAGCATGGGTAATGCAGCAGAGAGCATGGGTAATGCAGCAGAGAGCATGGGCAATGCAGCAGAGAGCATGTGCAAGAGGCCATGGTTGTAGGTGGGATGGCTCCGGCGGCAGCAGAGGGACTTCCGCCACAAACTCGCCTGGATCATGGGCAGTGCGCCAGGTGGGATGAGATGTGATGCTAGGTGGGTTGGATCATGGCCAGGTGTTCCAGGTGCTAGGATTCGGGAACGCCGATGAAGGCCTAAAAAGCTGAAACGCGCGTACGTTTTCTGAACCACTTGTAATCTACCGATTAATACTACTACGCTTACCTACACGTGTTCTCGCCTAGGTATGGGCAAGAGCTCCAGGTATGGGCAAGAGCTCCAGGTATGGGCAAGAGCTCCAGGTATGGTCAAGAGCTCCAGGTATGGTCAAGCGAGTGGGATGATGGGATGTGGGGTTATGCGCGGGATGGGCGAGCTATGCACATGGAATGTGGGGCGATGGGAAGAGAATGTACGTCTGACCTTATATAGAGACCAACTTTTTTTGCCATCTGGAAGAGGGTTTTATTATCAGGAATATTGTGGTTTCTACTGAAGCTCACAACTTGATCGCATCAGCTTGTTCTGTGTATGCTTCCGTTCCGTTTCACAACTTGAGACGTCTCAAAACTCAACTTTTATCACGAGGCTGTTCTCTGTTCTTGTCCAACAGTTTGCCATTCAACACAATCTCTCTCCATATTTTCACCGCGACCCGAGCCAGTACTGATTCATACCCTATTTGCCTTGCATTTCCCAACCCTTTCTAATCTGCCATGAACCTTCTTATGGTGTTGTGCAGGGGATTCTGATGCTAAGCTCACAAAATGTTCTGCACTGCCCTTAACTTGTGGCCACGTATCTTCCTAAAGGCAGACAACGTCTTGGAATTCCTACCCAACTGGTTAATAAATAACTCTCCCGTCCATTTGAGGAAGGCTCAGCTCAAAGATCACATTCACTTCAACACAGATTAGACCCTCAGATTGCTTCTGGTTCTGAATTTGGTTTTGGTTTTGGTTTTGGGCCGGGCGATCCATCAGTGTCATTACCGCCCAAAGAGATCGACCTAGCTACAGGAGGGCGGGTCATGCCAGTGTGCCACTCATAAGGTTTGAAATGTCTGTTAGCCACCCATACGATAAATGTTTTATTCCTGCCATTACTTCATTGATACAGCATGACCTTATTTTCACATTGCGTGGTATACACCAGTAACAACTAAGGTGTCAACTACCACCATCCCCCTTGTAAAGATTCTTTACATATCAAACTTGCAAGCATAGTGCACGAACTGCAGATTATATTACCGGTAGCTTAAATATTGAGTGCCCTGCCCAGCTAGCAAGAGGTAATCATGTTAAGAACCTAAGGCAAGGATGATGAGATTAGGTCAAAGTTGGGGTACAAGACTAGAGTGTCGAGAAAGTTTCTGTACCCCCTAGTGCTAACCCCCATGCAGCTTAGATAACCTAAACATATATATGTATATATAATTTGACACACCCCCATAGGCGAAATGGGGGATAGCCAGAGCAAGCAACGGTCACAAGACCAGTCAAGAGAAGAAACAAAACACAGCTCAGGGTGGATCACAACGTCACCACGCAGTCTGAGCACAAGCAAAAGGCCACAAGGCCAGTTCACATGCAGAGATATATACGTAACAACAACAGCACAGTGATCTCTACCTACCAGAGCAAGCATGCAGGTATATATATAGATCACAGTACAAACAAAGCCTACAGCAAGTGAGGAAACGTGGGCACAAGGCCTAACAAAGTACAGAAACGCTGATGATCACCAGGTGGAAGTGCCTTGGTGAATATATCAGCAGTGTTGGCCCGAGTGGCCACGTAAGCAAGACGAAGCTGACCACGCTGCTGTAGCTCTCGAGCAAGGAAGTAACGCAGAGCGATGTGCTTCGTTCTGTGCTCCAGTCTGTGCTCCTGACACAAGGCAATGGCGGCCTTGTTGTCGACGTACAACACTGGAGGAGAACGAGGCCTCTCTCCCAAGTCGGTCAGCAGGTAGGTGAGCCAGCGTAACTCCTGTGCAGCCATGGCTGTGGCGTAGATCTCAGCCTCACAACTGGAGCTGAGAACTGAAGACGAGCGTGTAGAACGCCAAGAAACCGAACCAGAGCCAAGACTGAAGGTGTAACCCTGTGACGACCGCTGCGTAGCCTGGTCGTCAACCCAAGAAGCGTCTGAGTGACCAGTGAGGACAACGTCGCTCCGTCCTCCAAGCACGAGCCCCATGCCCGATGTACTGCACAAGTAGCGTCGTACCCTCTTAGCAGCATCCATGTGCACCTTTCGGTGCCGACCAGGAGCCACGTAGCGAGCCAGAAGGCCAAGAGGGTACGCAAGGTCAGGACGAGTGCAGGTCATCAGGTACATGAGGCAGCCCACTAGCTCTGGGTAAGGACCACTCGGCTCTACGGACTCGTCCGAAGGTGGAGCTGAGAGCAAGTGACCTGTAGCCAGAGGAGTGGGCTGTGCCGAGGACCAGGTGAAGCCGAAGCGCTGAAGGACCTGCTGCACCATGTGTGACTGAGTCAGTGTGATGGTGCGGCGTGCTCTGTCCCGGGTGATCCGCAAGCCAAGATAGCTTGTCAGCTCACCCAGGTCTGTGCACGTGTGTCTCTTCTGCAGCTCCGACTTCACCAGGGCGAGAGCCTCAGTGTCAGCAGTGGCAAAGACCAAGTCGTCGACGTACACGAGGATGTAGAACGGCGGCAGTGAAGTGTCGGTGCGCAGAAACAGCGACGGGTCAGCAGTCGACGGAGAAAACCCAAGAGCCGCAAGTGTCGTCCTCAGTGTGTCGTGCCACTCACGCGGCGCCTGGCGGAGACCGTAGACCGGCCGCCGGAGGCTCCACTGGGTACCAGGAGGGAACGACCCAGTGAAGCCAGGTGGGCGGCGCAGCCAGATCTCCTCGTGCAGGGTGCCCTGTAAGAAAGCAGTGCTGAAGTCAAGAGAGTGAAGCTCGTAGTCACGCTGGGCGGCAACGTGCAGCAGAACCCGAAGAGTGGTCATCTTCGGGGTGGGGGAGAAGGTCTGGAAGAAGTCAACCCCCTCTCGCTGACTGAAACCTCGAGCAACGTAACGAGCCTTGAAGACAGGCGGAGAACCTGGCGGCCGCTTCACCCTGAAAATCCACATGCCACTGACGATGTTCGCCCCAGGAGGGGGAACCTCGTCGACGTAGGTGCCTGTGGACTTCCAGGATGCCATCTCTACATCCATGGCTGTCTGCCACTGAGAGGAGTACTCACCCGCGATCGCCTCAGCGTAAGAGCGCGGGGTCGGGATGTCTGGTGCATCCGGGTCTCCCTCAGGGGCAAGCAGCATGGACACAAGATGAGGCGCAGCGGCTGCAAAACACTCAAGGTCCTCGTGCCTATCCTCAAGGACGTCCGTGCCAAGAGCACACTCACCCCCGACGGACGGAGGACAGACAGACTCAGACTTAGCAACAAGACTAGCAGCGTAGTCTAGACGACAGGCAGCAACAAAGTCAACAAGCTCAGCGACTAAGGCAGACGCAGCAGCAGACTCAAACGACGGGTCAGTGACAACAGTGGCTAGCAGACGCGTGATAGTAGGGTGCTCAGCACGAAACCGGTCAGACTCAGGGTCTGGAACAACAGGCAGAGAAGACTCCGGAGGGGACGGCAGAGGAACTCGCTGCGGAGAAGAGGAAGGACGACGGACTACAAGGGAAGGACCGGGGACAGCCGGCGGACGCTGACGAGGAACACGACGACTGGAACGACCAGAACGGACAGGTGAGACAGGACGCGACGTAGGCTCACGATGCTCAGTAAAGCCCCCTGTCTGCTCAGCGTAAGGAGAAGGAGCAGGCAGAGGTGAGCCAGGCTGTAACGGAAGACCAGTAGACGACGGGAGGCTAAGAACCTGGCGAAGTACGGAGTCAGGCGGTGGCAGAGACGACGGAGACGGTGGAGCAAAGAACAGGCGCGGCTGTGTAGTGCCACTAGCACCAGCAGCTCCAGCACCCGCAGCAGCTCCAGCGCCTCCAGCAGCTCCAGTACCCTCAGCAGCTCCAGCACCTCCTGCAGCTCCAGCACCCTCAGCAGCTCCAGCACCTCCAGCAGCTCTAGCCCCCTCAGCAGCTCCAGCACCCTCAGCAGCTCCAGCACCTCCAGTAGCTCCAACACCCTCAGCAGCTCCAGCACCCTCAGCAGCTCCAGCACCCTCAGCAGCTCCAGCACCTCCAGCAGCTCCAGTACCCTCAGCAGCACCCCCAGAACCGGCACCTCCAGTCCCAGGGTCTCCAGCCTCCGTGTCTCCAGTAACAGCACCCCCAGACCCAGGGTCTCCAGCAGTAGCACCCTCAGGCTCAGCAGTACCTCCAGCCCCAGCAGCTCCAGCACCTCCAGTGCGAGCACCTCCGGGACCAGCACCACTCCCAGCTCCAGTGGTGTCAGCAGAAGTACCTCCAGCGGCTGAGCCCCGAGCTCCAGAAGCACGACCCTGACGGCGACCGTACCAGTCGTGCAGCTGCTGTGAGGTGAGAGGCACACGCGTACGAAGGCGGCTACTCCAAGGAGACCGCGCAGGAGCAGACTCAGAACCCTCAGGCGTCGCACCCCCAGACTCAGCACCCCCAGGCTCAGGACCTCCAGGCTCCTCACGCTCAGGCTCAGCACCCCGAGACTCCGCACCCCCCGGCTCAGCACCCTCAAGCTCCGCACCCCCACGCTCAGCACCCCCAAGCTCCGCACCCCCAGGCTCAGCACCCCCAAGCTCCGCACCCCCAGGCTCAGCACCCCCAGGCTCAGCACCACCCCCAGTAGGACCTGAGTCACCAGTGACCTCAACAGGCGCAGGCACGGGAGGGTCTACCTGAGAAACACCTAAAGGAGCAGGACCTGGCGCGGGGAGGGGGTCTACCTGGGGAGGACCTGGGGCGAGAAAGAGCGGCGGGGGGGGGCGAGGGGCAGTGCGGTAGGGAAAGAGATGGTAAAAGGGGACGGACTCGTCAAAGGTGACGTCCTGAGACGGAAAGACACGGCGCGAGGCTGGGTCGTAAAACTGCCAGCCAGGTGCGTCAGGAACAAAGTCAAGGAAGACGCAGGGAATGGCGCGAGCGGAGAGTTTGTCCGCGGTGGTATCGCGGACAAAGGCACGAGCACCCCAGACCCGGAAACGCGACGCATCGCCAACCTTCCCCGTCCACAGCAGTGTGGGCGAGGTCTCCGGCAAGGAGACACGGGGCCAGAGGTTGAGCTGATGCGCGGCGTACCGGACCGCAAACGGCCACAGAAAATGGGGGGCAGCCGCATGGATCATGGAGGTACGAGCGACCTCCATGACTAAGCCAATGCGGCGCTCAACAACCCCATTCTGCTGCGGAGAGGCCGGAAGCGTGAACGTCTGGCGGATGCCGTGCTCCGCACAGAAGGCTGCCAAGAGGTCGGAGGAGAACTCACCACCTCTGTCAGAGTGCAGACGCAGGACAGGAAAGTCCGACTGGAACCGCTCGCGGAGCTGGAGACGAACAGCGCGGATCCAGGGGATCAAAACATCAGGGACCTCCCCCTTGCTGCGCAAGGGGAAGACCGTGGTGTAACGCGTGTAGTCGTCGACGACCAGCAGGAAGTACCGCTCGTGGCCCTGTCCACGGACGCGGGCTGGGCCCCACACGTCCATGTGGAGGGTCTGCAGGGGAGCCTCTGTGGGAGGAAACGAGGAGGAGTGAGGAGCGGCGCGCTGCCGCCCCTCGACGCAAGGAATGCAGGGCGGCGCAGGCAAGGGAGGGAGGGCAGGCTGAGACCTGGGAAGGCCAGAGACCAGGTAGCGAGAGTGCATGCTACGAAGGCGAGGCAGGGAGGGGTGACCAAGGCGGTGGTGCCACAGGAGAGTGTCGTGCGACAGGCTGCGACACTCACACTGGGTAGCTACCTGAGCAGACGCGTACAGCTGGGGGGACAAAGGGGTGTAGCGTGATGCAGTGGTGAGGGTGTACAGACTAGACCCAGGCGCACGTGTGAACGTGGCCAGGTGCCGGCCGGTCCTGGAGCACGTGCAGATCGCCACACGCTGTCCTCCAGGAGTAAAGGTGTCAACCCAGTGATCCTGAAGGACGGCGTTGCTCACCAAGTTCGTAGAGAACGAGGGGAGGTGGAGACCAGACAGCTCACCAGACGGGACCGCCGGACACGGAAGCACAGTGGAAGACCGTGCAAGCACTGGGCCCCCAGAGGGGTCAGCCAGTGAGACAGGAACAGGTGCAGGGAGGGGAGTGACTGTGGTGCTGTCGCGAAAGAAACAGCGGGAAGCACCAGAGTCAAGTGTGAAAGTGTGCAAGGCCTGTGCGGACGCAGTACCAGGGGGAGCAGACTCACAAGCACCTAGTGCCACAGGCGCTACACCTGGGGCAATACCTGGGTCAGGCGGCACACACAAGTAGCAGTCACCCTCAGCACTAACAGTCAATGCATACATGGCAGCAAGAATAGCCTCATAGTCAAGATCAAAGATAGGTACATCACGCCTAAGCAGGTCTGCCCAGTTGGGGAACTCAGTAGCATCAGGAAACTTGGCGCGCCAGGCGTCGCTAGGTCGAGCGAAGTAGCGCTGCTCAGTGTGAAACCCTGTGCACTGGCGATTAGCGCGGGGACCTGTGCGGATGATATAGGGGCAGCGACCAGGACCCCCAGAAGCCCCACGCCCGGCATACCAGTCAAGAAGCTGCTGGGAAGTGGGGGTCTGGCGCTGACGCTGCTGCTGCTGCTGCTGCCGCTGCTGCTGCTGCTGCTGCGGCTGCTGCTGGCCCTGACCACCACTGGCACCACCGCTCCCTCCTCCCCCACCGCCGCTGCTGCCCCCTCCACTGCCCCCAGTGCCTCCGCCGCCCCCACCACCACCTCCACCCCCTCCACCCCCACGACCACCCCCACCACCTCCACCGCCCCCGCCGCCTGCACCACCGCCGCCTCCACCGCCGCCCCCACCGCCCCTGCCACCCCTGCCGCCCCTGCCGCTGCGACGCTTCCCACTAGGAGCGGAAGCAGCCCCGACCTCCTCAGCACCAAGGTAGTCGTGAGCAGCAGCTGCGGAGGCGTAGGAGGGGTTGAGAGGGGAGGGGGAGCACCCCTCAAAGAGGGGAGAGCGAGGAGTGCCACGAGCAGCACCTACAGCGAGGATGCTCTTCTCTGCTGCAAGGAGGTGCTTCTCGAAGTCGTCGACAGTGAGAGTGGGGGGGTCTAGCGCTAGGAAGTGGTCCCTGACCGAGCTAAGAGTGTCAGGGAGGCGCGTAACGAGGAAATAGAGAGTGAAGTACATCGGGGGGGGGTTTGCGGCGCAGAACTCGGCTAAAAGGGCGGGACGAAAGCGAGTGTCAGTAGCGCGGAGGTGAGAAATGAGGTCCTCAGCAGTGGTGAACGAGGAAAGGTCGGGGAACAGGTAGGGTAGCATGAGCCGACCTATGGCTGCAGTGGCCGGGGAGGAGTAGCGTGCAACTACAGCGTCGTACAGTGTCTTAGCAGTTTTGTGCTGGCTGAAATGCGCGCGCTCAGTGATCGGCAGATGGTTCCTAATAGCTAGGCGTGCAGCAGCATCGCGAGTCTGCCACTGCGAGCGTTCGAGAGCAGGAGCATCAGCGGCAGGAGCATCAGCGGCAGGAGCAACGGCAGTGCCAGACACGTAATCGAACAGTGAAACGCCCTCTTTGGCATCAGTCAGAAGGAACAGTTGCAGGTCGTCTAGCCACACAGTGAACTCTATGGGGCGACCGTCAGGTTCGAACGCGAGAACATTAGGCGTCGTCATAACAGTAGTAGGCAAAGGCAGCAGAAAGCAGGCAGGCAGTAGACACGAGGCAGTAGGCAGTAGACAGAAGGCTAAAACTTAGGCAGTAGGCAGTAGGCAGTACAGGCAACGTGCAGGGCAGTAGCTTGCTGCACCCGAGCTCCTACGGTGGGGCTCTAGACAGTGGCAGGCCGTACAGTTCGAAGGCAGTGAGTTCGGCAGCAGTAAGCCTCACAGGCAAGTACACACGTAGGGCGCGCGCGGCTGCTGGCTGCGTGCGGCTAAGGGCCGCGCGTGGCTCTCTGCTGCGCGTGGCTACGTGCTGCGCGCGGCTCCTGGCTGCACGTGGCGACGGGCAGCGCGCGCGCGGGCGGCGGGCTCTACGTCGCGCGCGGGCGGTGGGCTCTGCTTAGGCTGCGCGCGGGCGGCGTAAGGGGCGCGCGGGCTCTACGAGGGCTACGCGGGCGACGCGGACCGGCGCGCGGCTCTACAGCAGTGGCGCGCGCTAAAAATCAGAGACGCGCGCGCTAGAAACCGAGGCGCGCGCGGGAAAAAATAAGTGACGCGCGCTGCCGCCGAGGCGCGCGCGAGCAGTAGGCAAGGCAGGCAGTTAGGTGGGCCCGATTCGTAGGTCCTAGAGACCTCCTGCTCTAGTTACCATGTTAAGAACCTAAGGCAAGGATGATGAGATTAGGTCAAAGTTGGGGTACAAGACTAGAGTGTCAAGAAAGTTTCTGTACCCCCTAGTGCTAACCCCCATGCAGCCTAGATAACCTAAACATATATATATATATATAATTTGACAAATCATGCTACCGTATGTCACATGCCGCAACCGAAAGGTTTATTGTAGTAGGCATTGTATCATAAGCGAAACCACAACTACCGTATGCTGAAAAATCACTTGGAACGGAGCCGAGTATCCTCAATCAGCAAGCGCATGAATCGTCTCCGGCGCTTCACAATCCTCACGGCATCCGTGGCGGTCGCAATCCCCATCTCGTCATTTGTGAACGCGGGCACGGGACCAAAGAGGCAGTAGGCCAGGATGGCAGCTGCAAGCATCCTCCCAGCCCAACAAACAGGGAGAGGCAACAACAGGAAATGAAACAGTGGAAAAGGATTCCACTAAATGAAACAACAAGAAGCAAGGCAACGTGTCAAGTGAAATGCCACAAACATGAACTCACAAATAGAAGAAATCAGCAGCAGCACTGTACATTGTACACTGTACACCATACCTAGTTCATGAATAGCGAGTCGATTCGCAATGCGGTTCCGCAGCAGCGCCTGAATGAGCGCCAGCAGCGAGTCCACCACACCCAGCTGCACCGCACCCAACCGCTCCGCCAGCAGCGTAGCCGCGGCCCCCCGTGCCCACCCCTCCCTACACGCCACCTCCTCCCCCACAGCCGGAGGAATTATAGGCTCAGGGAGGGCTAGAAGGAAAGAGACAAGCGCACGCGCCATGGTGAGGGGGGAGGTTTCGGTGGGGAAGGGTGTGCTGGTGTCGAGTGCGAGACGGATGGGTGCTATCTGCAGCTCCTGAGCTACTGCACCCAGTGCTGCTGCCTTGGCCGCTAAAAATTGCGTCGACCCCGGCCCTTCCCCTTCCCCTTCCCCTGCTCCTGCTCCTGCTCCTCCTGCTCCACCTCCTCCCCCTCCTGCTCCTGTGGCTCCTCCTGCTGCAAGGTCTGCTGCGGCTGCTCCAACTGCCCCTGCTGCTGCACCCACGGCGCCTGCAGCAGCAGCGACAGCCAGAGCAGCAGGGGTAGAGAGCCCTGCCACTCCACCTCGACTCAAGGTGCGGGATAGCTGCGGCAGCACACCACCTCCACCAGTAGCACCGCCGCCGCCGCTGCCCCTGCTGCTGCCGAAGCTGCTGCTGCCGCCGCCGCCGGGGCTGCTGCTGATGCTGCTGCCAGGGTTGCTGTTGAAGCTGCTTTCGGGAGTGGTGGAGAGGGAACTAACCGCAGCAGACAGCACATCAGAGGACAGACTCGCGCTGCGCGTGTGCGAGAGCGAGTGAGGGTGCCCGTGCGGGGTGGAGTGCGAGGAGGGGAAGGGGGCCGCACGAGTGCTGTCCTCCTGGTCGAGAGAGAGATCAATACCGAGAGCGATAGGGTCAAAGGCGGAGGAGATGTCCTGGCCTGAGTCCAGAAGGAAGGTGAGCATGCGGGCCACCTCCTTGGGCACCTCAAACGCGTCTGATGCATGGGGCGCTGCTGCCCGTGCCGCTGCTCCTAGCGGCCGATCGTCCTCCCCGCCTGCAACAGCGGAGTCATTGTCAGGGTCGGTTTCGGAAGCTTCTGGGATGCTGGCCTGGTGACCGCCAGCAGCAGGGGCAGCTGTAGCCCGGCTGTAGCGGAGGGAGGAGCGCTGGCGTGTGGCGATGGCGTCGAGAGAGAGCGAGCGGATGGGGTCCTTTAGACCTGCCAGTGCCTCCAGACTAGGGGGTGGGGAGAGAGAGGAGGGAGAGGAATGGCAGGAATGATAAGGGGACAAAAAGGAGGGGAATGAGGGTGATGGCGTCGAGAGAGAGTGAGCGGATGGGGTCCTTGAGACCTGCCAGTGCCTCCAGACTATGGGGTGGGGAGGAGGGAAGGGGCAAGGGCGAGGTGGCAGGAGAAATGAGATAGGGAATAACGAATGTGAGGGGAGGGGGAGCAAAGGCAGGAACATGGCACATGGGAAGAGAGCATGTCCGGGCGTTCAGACTAGACGGTGAGGAATGGGGGAGGGGGTTGACAGGAGAAATGCGGTAGGGAAGAACGGAGTGAAGCGGGAAAGGGAGGAGAAAGGGGTTGTTCGAGAGGAGGGAGGAGGTGGTCCTTGAGGCTTGGAGTGGGGAATGAGGGAGGAGGGAAAGTGGTGGCAGGAAAAATGAAGGGGTTGACGAGAAGGGCTTGAGGGTAGGGGTGCTGGTGGAGAGGAGAGAGTGGTGTGGCCCCCGCGGCTGAGGGTAGGTAGGACCGCTGCGGCCGTGGTGACCCGCCAAAGCTTCTAGAATGAGTGGCGTGGCATGGTGAATGCCGGGTGGGGTGAATGAAAGGGAACTGTGTGTTACAGTGAAGGCCGGAGGGGATGGATGGTGCATGCATGCAGGGGGTTGCTGAGAAACAACAACACCCACCGCAAGCCCCAGCAGGATGGCACGTAGCTCCCCGAGCACGCCACAAACAGGTCCCCGCCGCCCGCAATCGCGACCACCAGAATCAAATCCAGCAGCCCGCCGCGATCCACCAGCAAATCCACCCTTGTGCCCGGCACTGCCATCCAGGTGTGCAGGCTGAGGGTCACCGTGTGCCCTGGCGCCACTGCCGCTGCTGCTGGTTCCGCCACCACCCATGCCCCGCACCCCCCAGCAGGGCCGGGGGCAGCGGTGTCCGTGCTGCCTGCCGGGGCCACGGAGAAGCGCGCGGGCACCGTGCCAAGATTGTGCAGCTCTATGGTTCGCCGGATCACAGACGCGTAGGGCACCTGACGGGTGGGGGAAGGGGGGAGGGAGAGCGGGGGTGAGGGGTATATTTGTGAGGGATGGAAGGGTGAGAAGCGGGCGGGGACTGTGCCGAGATTGTGCAGCTCTATGGTTCGACGGATGACAAAGGTGTTGGGAACGTGGTGGGGGAGGGGGGAAGGGAGAGGTTGAGAGGGGTGTGAGTGGGTGTTGAAGGCTTGAAAATCTATGGTGAGGCGAGACACAGAAGCGTTGTGGTGGTGAAACCTTTGAGAAATCAGGAAAATCAATCCACAGGGCACAGGGTCATGAAGTTTTATAGGAATCTCATAAATCAATTTGCGGAACACGTGGTGGTGTGAGCACTGTGATGGGGCCGGCAGTATGGTATGGCCAACTCCTGCTGCGAGTCCAGCTTCCAGCACACCACAGCAGCCTCTGCACATGTGTCTGCCTGCCTACCCTCAGCATCCCCACCTCACCTGTCCAAATTTCACAGCATGGGCACTGAGAGAGCAACGCAGGATGGCACAGTTGGTGCCACAACCAGATTCCAACTGCAGCCACTCGTCCAACTGCCGGCACACCGCGGCCAAAGCCGCATCAAATCTCTCTCTCTCTCTCTCTCTCTCTCTCTCTCTCTCTCTCTCTCTCTCTCTCTCTCTCTCTCTCTCTCTCTCTCTCTCTCTCTCTCCACCGCCTCCACCGGCACTGCAAACACCGCCGCCACCGGCCGCTACAAACACCGCGACCACGGCAGCCGCTGTACATATGCCTAGTCCAAACACCACACCTTCACACCTGAGTCGCTTTTGAGAATTCTAAAACAAGACACCCCACCTCACCTCTCCAAATTCCACGGCATGAGCGCTGAGAGAGAAATGCGGAATGGCGAGTTGCTGCCGCTCGTCCAGCTGCCGGCACGCCACAGCCACGGCAGCATCGAACCGCTCCCTCTCCACCGCCTCCACCTGCACTGCAAACACCGCCGCCACCGGCCGATGGTCCGACAGCGCCAGCTCCGCCCGCGAGTACGACACAAGCTGCAGCGCATCACTCGCATACCCCCCCATGCTGCTCATGCTGCCGCTGCTGGCGATCCCGGTGGTGGTGGTGTTGGTGCTGGGGCTGGGGCTGCTGATGCTGGGGGGGGGGAGGCTGTCAGTGGCGTCACCCGAGTCGTACCAGAGGACGCGGTCGCACCAGGCGGGCGTGCGGCGCTTCTCCCCGTCCTCCTCGTCCTCCCCCACGTACCGGTTGCTGCCCGCTGCGTACTTGTAGGTTGGGGCGAAGAAAATAGGGCCCTCTCGCCATCCGGGTAATGCCCCTCCCTCTGAGAGCTCCCACCGAAGCTGCAGGACAGCGGAGGGGGGAGGGTGGGGAAGGAGAAGAGGCGGGTGAGAAATGCATTTGATGCAGCTCAGAGAGGGTTGCTGAATCCACCCTAGTTACCCTGTTACCCTACAGGTCCTTTCGACTAGATCTGGCAGCCACTTGATAACAATGTTTTTTTTTTCGTCTCAAAAATGCACTTTTATCACGTCACATCAGGTCTACCCCTGCCCCTGTTGCCCAACAGTTTCTCTAGACTAGATCCGGCAGCTCTCAAGTCAGAGAGCACACACTCATCTCATTGCCACTGCAGCACCATGCCACCCATCTCACAGCACTCCACAGCACCACACAGCACCGCATACCATGCTAGAGGATCCCGCTGCACCGTATTTCACCTGGTCATGCTGCAGCAGCGCCTCCCAATCCCTCTTTGCCAGCAGCGCGCGTGCCTCCAAATCCGGTAGCTCCAGGCGGTAGTTGAGATCGCCAAAGAAAAACACACGGCTGGGAGAGGAGGGAGAGGAAAGGGGTTGGGAATGGGGTTGGAGAAGACAAGAGTGGAGGGGAACGAGAGGAGAGGAGTGGTGATTAGCGGAAGTTAGGAAGGCAGCTCCAAGAGGAAATTGAGTTCGAGTGAGAGTGGCAGTGTGTGGGTGTAGGGTGAGTGATGGTGGTGGTGGTGTTCTGGTAACACAGGCAGGGAGGGGGGGAGGAGGGGGGGCGAAGGTAAATGATGATGGTTCCGAGGGTGTTTCTGGGCTCGATTTCACCCCCTCCTGCTACAACCGAAAATGAGAAATTTCGGGCGCGAGGGGGGGAAGGCTCCGACGGTAAATGAAGAACCTACGGGTACATTTTCGTGAGCGGGAAACAGGGGTATCGCTATTGGCGCTAATTTAGAAAAAGGGTTAGAAACATTTAACTCGAAAAAGAAAACCCCAACAGGAACAAACCAAACACCAACTTTGAGCACGTTTGAGGGACAGTGGTTTTTTTTTCCTGCCTCTTGAGCGTGTGCCGCTCTCCAAAGCAATCGCCTCTCCTCGTCTCCCCCACCAGCGTCCTCTCCACCGGTCCGGTGGTGCGACAGAGAATCTAGAAAAATCCAAATGTGCCTTGCAAACCAGTGAGTTTGAGGCCCCTCATTCCCACTGTTGGTTCTTGTCTCCATCCCACACTTTGCCATGAAAACCACTACAAACCGCACTCCACACACACCACCCACCGCCGCCACCACTCACTCGTGCTCTGTGATGGTCTCTGCCAGCCCAGGGGTCTGGCAGCTCTCTGGGAAAGGCGGTGCAGAGGGGGATCTCGAGGAAGTCAAAATTTCAAATATGCCTTGCAAACCTGTGTGCCTTAACACACCACCACACATCACCACTCACTCGTGTTCAGTGATGGTCTCTGCCAGCCTGGCAGTCCACGGATCTGGCAGTTCTCTAGGGAAGGCGGTGCGGCGGAGAATCTCGAGGAAGTCAAAGGTGCGGCGAGCGGCGTCGGCACGCTCCTCCCCGGCATTGAGATGCGCACAGATGAAGGTGAATGAGGTCTCGTGCACCGACATGCTTATTGCCACAGAGCCCTGCATTGCGGTGTGAAAAGGTTGGGATGATGAGGGAGGTGGTATGAGGGAGGTAACACAAGGGAAGTGGCACGAGAGAGGTGGCATGAGGGAGGTACCACAAGGGCGCATTTAGATGCGCACAGATGAAAGCAAGTGACGTCTCATGCACCACCACACTCAACCGCCACCCACCAAGTTCCGCAAAAGAGCAGAGAAGGTGAGGAGACATGGTTGCAATCATGAGCGCAGCCTGACAAATGCTCACGCGCATTAGCAGAAGCATCATTAGCGCAGCAATGGGGCATTTGTTGGATTTGAAGACGTCTGCAGCCGAGCTTCATAATCTGTGCAGGGCCTCGAACCTTGGGACAGGAGGTGAGGTAGCCGCTGGAGCAGCAGCAGGGGCAGCAACAGTGGGAGCAGTAGTAGGGGAAGCAGCAATGGCAGTAACCGGCATCAGCCAGCGCATGGAGGAAGAGGGGGGAGCAGGAGGGGTAGAGGAGGGCAGGGAAGAGGGAGGCAAAGAGAGGGTGGAAGGCAGGGAAGTGGGGGGAGAAGGAGGAGTGTGGGGCTGGGAAGAGGGAGGTTATGAGGGAGAGGACGAGGGAGGGGAAGAGGTTTGGGAGGAGGGAGGGGAAAGGGAAGGAAAAATGAGAGGGGAAGGAGAAACGGGAAGGGAAGTTGAAGCGAGAAGAGAAAGGCAAGAGAAACGGGAAAGAGATGCCACCATATACACCAGAAAGGATATTTTTGTGAACCCTCAAACCTTCCACCCGTTGAATCTTCTGTGACAGCGGTTCTTCCCCTTTCTTTCAATGTCGAGAACCAAGTCGTCCACCACTCGTATGTGATTCTTTCCATCCCTACTTGATAGGGAAGACTACGACGGGAAGGGGCCAGAGAAAGAATCCCTACTTGTATGTGATTCTTTCTTTGCCCCCTTCTCTTCTAGCCTTCCCTCTTAAATAGGGATGGAAAAAATCACATATGAGGGGTGGCCGGCGTGGTTCTCGACATTGAGGAGGGGTGGGTGGAACCGCTGTCACAAGAAAAGTCAGCGGGAGGAAGGTTTAAGGGTTCACGAAAAAATCCTTTCTAGTGTCTATGGTGGCATCTCTTCCCCGTTTCCTTTCCCTTTCTCTTCTCGCTTCAACTTCCATTCCTGTTTTCCTCTTCTCCTCTCATTTCTCCCTCTTCCCTCCCTTCTCCCAAACCTTTTTCCCTCCCTCGTCCTCTCCTTGAAACCTCCTTCTTCCCAGCCCCACACTCCCTCCTCCTCCCACTTCCCTGCCTTCCATTCTCTCTTCTCCTCCCTCTTCCCTGCCCTCCACTAATCCTCCTGCACCCCCCTCTTCCTCCATGCGCTAGCTGATGCCGGCTACTGCCGTTGCTGCTTCTCCTGCTGCCGCTCCCACTGTTGCTGCACCTGCTGCTACTCCAGCGGCTGCCTCACCTCCTGTCCCAAGGTTTGAAGCCCTGCACTGATTTCGAAGCTCGCCTGCAGACGTCTTCAAATCCAACAAATGCTCCATTGCTGTTGCTAATGATGAGCGCAGCCTGACAAATAACCTAACTTCCCGGCATCTGCTTTCACCAATGGCCAAAGCCAAGGTGTTGCCTGTTGCATCTTTTCAACCGCACTGCATCGCACTCAACCGCTCACCTTGTTGCCAAGAATGCCCATGAGCCCACAGCCCACAGTGCTAGCCTTGACGCTATGAATGTGCCTCCTCAGTCCCTTCCGTGCCCACACCATCAGATACACCCCCACCATCTGCCTCCCCGCCACCTTCACATATGCCTCCTCCACCTCCCCTCCCTCCCACTCCTCCTCCATCTCTGCTCCCCTCCCCCCCTCTTCCCCTCCCGTTGCTGCATCCTCCCTTCCACCTTCCCCTTCCCCAACCTTCCCTACCACCCCTCCCTCACTCGCCTGCACATCCCCCCTCCCCTCCCCGCCATCGCCACCCCCCTCCCCACCATATTCACCTCCATCTGCAAAGATGGGCTCGGCAGGAGTGAGCGGCACGCTGATCAAATCCTCGGGCAGGATCTTATCCAGGGGTGCCTTATCTGCACGTTCCCCCTGCTGCAGAGCATCCCCGCCCCACTCAGGTGTGGCAGGAACAGCAGCGCCAGCGTCAGCTGGACTCAAGGAGCCCACAAGATGCCCTGCAGCTGCAGCAGTAGCAGCAGAAGAGTCTTCAAGCGACCCTTTGGAGGCATCAGAAGCGGAGGAGGGGAGGCGAAAGCTGCTGGTGTGGAAGGAGAGGTCGCTGCTGCTGGTCAGAGACGGGGGAGGCGTGGCCCTCCCTTGCACACCGCTGCTACTGCTTGTGCTGTTTGTCTCATCATCACCGGCCCTGCTGCCTCCGTCTGTCACTGCCTGCTCTGCCCCATCAACCACCCCCTCTACGGGTTCATCAGCCTTGCTTGAGCCTCTGGACGCAGCCTTGGCAGCGGCTTTTCTGGCGGCTTTGGCAGCGGCAGTGTTGAGCTGGCGGCGCACTAGGGCCTCCCATTGCCCCACCGCCTCCTCTGAGTCCATCCCCAACACACTGCCCGTGCTCAGAGGCACTATTTCCTGGAAGCTGTGATGGGAACGGGAAGGGGATGTGAGAGCAAAGAGAGCACACACGAGAGAGGATGTGGTAACAGGCTCCTCGCGTCAGTCCATCCCCAGGCTCAGCAGGACTATCTCCTGGAAACTGCATAACGGGGGAGACAAGTGTCGTGAGAGCTCAGCACAGACACGAGATTTGAGGAGCCTCAAAAGCAGCACTGGCAGCAGCCTTGGCAGCGGCGTCGCTGAGCTGGCGGCGCACTAAGGCCTCCCGTCACCCCACACACACGAGAGAGCAGCACACACACAGGAGATCACACACACGAGGGGTGGATGTGGCAACAGCCTCCTCTGATTCCATCGCCAACACACTGCCCGTGCTCAGCGGAAGTATCTCCTGAAAGCTGCAGGGTGGGGTTTGAGACAGGGAACGTGAGAGCGCACACAAGAGGGAGGGGTGACGCGGCAACAGCTTTCTTTGAGTGCTTCCATCCCCGACACACTGCCCGTGCTCAGCGGGGGTATCTCCTGGAAGCTGCAAATGGGAAGGGTATGTGGGTGCAAAGGGAGAGCACACGCACAGGAGAGCACACACACGAGAGAGCACACACACGAGAGAGCACACACACGAGAGAGCACACACACGAGAGAGCACACACACGAGAGAGCACACACACGAGAGAGCACACACACGAGAGAGCACACACACGAGAGAGCACACACACGAGAGAGCACACACACAAGAGAGCACACACACGAGAGAGCACACACACGAGAGAGCACACACACGAGAGAGCACACACACGAGAGAGCACACACACGAGAGATCACACACACGAGAGAGCACACACACGAGAGAGCACACACACGAGAGAGCACACACACGAGAGAGCACACACACGAGAGAGCACACACACGAGAGAGCACACACACGAGAGAGCACACACACGAGAGAGCACACACACGAGAGAGCACACACACGAGAGAGCACACACACGAGAGAGCACACACACGAGAGAGCACACACACGAGAGAGCACACACACGAGAGAGCACACACACGAGAGAGCACACACACGAGAGAGCACACACACGAGAGAGCACACACACGAGAGAGCACACACACAAGAGAGCACACACACGAGAGAGCACACACACGAGAGAGCACACACACGAGAGAGCACACACACGAGAGAGCACACACACGAGAGATCACACACACGAGAGAGCACACACACGAGAGAGCACACACACGAGAGAGCACACACACGAGAGAGCACACACACGAGAGAGCACACACACGAGAGAGCACACACACGAGAGAGCACACACACGAGAGAGCACACACACGAGAGAGCACACACACGAGAGAGCACACACACGAGAGAGCACACACACGAGAGAGCACACACACGAGAGAGCACACACACGAGAGAGCACACACACGAGAGAGCACACACACGAGAGCGGGGGGATGTGGCAACAGCTTTCTCTGATTCCATACCCAGCACACTGCCTGTGCTCAGCGGGGGTATCTCCTGGAAGGTGCAATGGGAGACATGCGTGCAAAGGGAGACATGCGTGCAAAGGGAGACATGCGTGCAAAGGGAGACATGCGTGCAAAGGGAGACATGCGTGCAAAGGGAGACATGCGTGCAAAGGGAGACATGTGTGCAAAGGGAGACATGCGTGCAAAGGGAGACATGCGTGCAAAGGGAGACATGCGTGCAAAGGGAGACATGCGTGCAAAGGGAGACATGCGTGCAAAGGGAGACATGCGTGCAAAGGGAGACATGCGTGCAAAGGGAGACATGCGTGCAAAGGGAGACATGCGTGCAAAGGGAGACATGCGTGCAAAGGGAGACATGCGTGCAAAGGGAGACATGCGTGCAAAGGGAGACATGGGTGCAAAGGGAGACATGCGTGCAAAGGGAGACATGCGTGCAAAGGGAGACATGCGTGCAAAGGGAGACATTCGTGCAAAGGGAGACATGCGTGCAAAGGGAGACATGGGTGCAAAGGGAGACATGGGTGCAAAGGGAGACATGCGTGCAAAGGGAGACATGCGTGCAAAGGGAGACATGCGTGCAAAGGGAGACATGCGTGCAAAGGGAGACATGCGTGCAAAGGGAGACATGCGTGCAAAGGGAGACATGCGTGCAAAGGGAGACATGCGTGCAAAGGGAGACATGCGTGCAAAGGGAGACATGCGTGCAAAGGGAGACATGCGTGCAAAGGGAGACATGCGTGCAAAGGGAGACATGCGTGCAAAGGGAGACATGCGTGCAAAGGGAGACATGCGTGCAAAGGGAGACATGCGTGCAAAGGGAGACATGCGTGCAAAGGGAGACATGCGTGCAAAGGGAGACATTCGTGCAAAGGGAGACATGCGTGCAAAGGGAGACATGGGTGCAAAGGGAGACATGGGTGCAAAGGGAGACATGCGTGCAAAGGGAGACATGGGTGCAAAGGGAGACATGCGTGCAAAGGGAGACATTCGTGCAAAGGGAGACATGCGGTGAGTAAGGCCCCCCTCTGACATCCCCGTGTGAGTGCTTTCATCCCCAGCACACTGCCCGTGCTCGGCGGGAGGGCATTGGCAGGAGAACCATTGGTTGGCATCACCACCTATACGACGGCGATAACATTGGCTGGGTGCTGCAGTGCAGCGAGAGGCTATCCGAGAGGTCCAGGTGGGCAGGCAGGGCAGGGCACGGATGAAGCAACCCAGGTCAGGTCACACGCATGCCACAGCACAGTCCTTTTGAGAGCAGGAACGAGCAGCACCCACCCACCCAATGGCGATGATGTCGGCAGGCTGCTGCAGGGAGAGCCAGTCCGTGAGGTCGAGGTGGGAAGTCGAGGCAAGGCAAGGAGCGACACACGCATGCCACAGACATGGAATGGCATGCCATGATAGGACAGGACAGGAAAGAGCAACCACTCACCCAATGGCAATGATGTCGGCAGGTTGCTGCAGGGAGAGCCAGTCCGTAAGGTCCAGGTGGGAAGGCGGGTCCGATATGCCCGCCACGTTCCATGTGGCTGTCACCACCCTGGTGGTTGAGAGCATGGGCATTGGCAATTGCAAGGGCAGCAGATGGAAGGAATGGGCAACGGCATGGGCAGCAGCAGGCGCAGGAGCAGCAGATGGAAGCAGGTGGGTGGGTGGGTGGGAGGGTGGGTGGGTGGATGAGCAGATGGGCGTGGGTATGTATGTGCATGGGCATGGGCGTTGGCATGGGAATGGGCATGCCCGTGGGCGAGGGCACGGGCATGGGAAGCGGGCGCGCGAGTAGCACATGAAGGAAAGGAAGATGAATCTGGAGCTCACAGCTCGACGAGCTCACTGTAGCAGCCAGCCACCCAACCCAAGAAGCGTAGAGCTCTCTGGTGTGGTGTGCAGACAATGGTGCCTGAGGGCGCGCAGGATAGCATACAAGAGAGACCCACCTGAGCTGTCTGGTGCCCAGGAACTGGTGCCTGAGGGCGCGCAGCATAGCAGCACAGCGTACCACAGGAGACGACAGACAAGGACCCACCCACCCACCTGAGCTCTCTGGTGGGTCAACGCACCTGAGCTCTCTGGTGGGTCAACGCACCTGAGCTCTCTGGTGGGTCAACGCACCTGAGCTCTCTGGTGGGTCAACGCACCTGAGCTCTCTGGTGGGTCAACGCACCTGAGCTCTCTGGTGGGTCAACGCACCTGAGCTCTCTGGTGGGTCAACGCACCTGAGCTCTCTGGTGGGTCAACGCACCTGAGCTCTCTGGTGGGTCAACGCACCTGAGCTCTCTGGTGGGTCAACGCACCTGAGCTCTCTGGTGGGTCAACGCACCTGAGCTCTCTGGTGGGTGCACTCACCTGAGCTCTCTGGTGCCCAGGAAGTGGTGCCTGAGGGCGCGCAGCTCGTCCCTGAAGTTGTTGATTCGCAGCAACGCTCTCAACCGCTCTGAACCTGCCATCATGCACGGATGTAGGAAATTGCATTGTATATCATTCCAGTTAGGTATGGCATTCCCCTGTGTAGTAATTTCGCGGGAAAAGGCATTCCAGGTTTTACATTTGTATAGCAGAGGTTCAGAGATACAAGGAAAGGGATGGGCAGAAAACAGGGAAAAGGGCGTGTGTGAAGGAAGATACGATTTACTAAATGAGCATCACATGAATTGTGTTATTTGCTTGTGTGTGCACGCGCGCTGGTGTGCGTGTGCATGCATCTGTGTGGGGGGAGGCGTGCGAGCGCTTGTGAGTGAGTGTGTGTGAGGGTGAGGGTGTGAAAGAGTGAGTACCGAGAGGCAGAGGCTCCTTCCAGACGTCACAGCTGAGCACCTCTGAGGCCTCCTCTCCATCTGGTAACCCTGTTACATATGGCATGATATGAGACAGAATCTTGCTTATCAACACAAAGGCATGTGTCGCATGGCAATACAGAGGCCAAATTCACATGCCGACACACCAGTGCATGTCATGGCGAGAGACAGAGCACAGCGTTGGGAGGAACCAAATGCAGTTCAAAAGTACATACAGATCTTCTAGGTCTGATTTCTACCAAAGAAATTAGGAACAAAATGGATATTGATGCAAAGGTGGAAGGAGCTGAATGTGCCAATGCCAATGCAGGACGCGACGCACTGCCATCTACCTACTGTTAGCTAAGAAGCAGAGAAGGTAGAATCTGTTATCTAAACGACGAATGCCAATGAGCATGACAGTAACACGGCTCGGGGGCATGTGATAGGCCCCACGCCTCTGGAATCCGCGAGTACGTCGAATTTCGACGGCCAATGCGATCGCATTTATCCCTATCGTCGCATTTCATGCGACCGTCGTCAACAACGATTGTCGCATTGACGGCAACCGTCGCAATCGGAGCTCGAATTCGCATACCTGATAAATCAACCTCTGGCGAGTACTCGTCCGCGTAGAATTCGGGCTGGACTTGCCCTAGACCCAACCAGCCGAGCATGACGACGTTCGCGAGGCTATAAACGAAGAGAACGGACAGGAGAATAATACAGCGTGCGGGACGAAATAGCATTCACTTTCTCCGCGGAGCGAGTGGACTGACGAGTCACGTCACGAGCTGCTGACCGGGCTCCACGCCGGCATCAATGGCTGCCGCATTTGGGCTAATGTCTCTTGCAGTGCGTGTCTGGGTCTGGGATACCTCTTGCAATGTGCAAACTTGGGGGTGATAAAGTGGAAGGGGAATGTGCTTTCAATGCGGTTAAGTGCGATTCCACGCGTTAAACAACGGTTTCTTACCTTACCGCTATGGACAGCAACGAACCATCGTACTTGAAACGAAAGCGAACACCATTGCGCCTGGTGGCTTGGTGCGTGAATGTACGCAACTCGACCAACCCTAAAGTTACACATTTGACCCGAGGGCTGAACTTCGGGTCTGAAATTTGCGGTTCGCTCCCAATTTCAACTAAGTTCATCACGCACAGCTCGCTACCAAGTTCGACCGAAACCGGTCGACCCCGAAAAGAAGAACATTTCCTGGACTGCTCTGAACTCCAGAAACGCATCAGCCGGACAGAACCGGAGCATTCTACGACACAAGAATCATTGGGGGGTGAGATGTGAAGAGGTTTGATTTCTGAAATTCTGAGACCTCGAGATGACACTGGAATACCACGGCATTATCAAGGGTGCCTAGAAGCCCTTTTCAGCGGGATTTGAACGAGTGGTGACAGCAACGACAAGCAAGAGCCAGAGATAACGATATAGAAGCTGCTCTTGCGCTGTGATCCTTCGTTCTCGCTGGCTTTCCGCCAGTGGTGTTTAAAGTCCTTTTTATTCGTCCTGCTCCCGTACCGGTGACTCTCTTATCTCGGGTTCACTATCGCACTGACCGCAACAACATATTTGCGACTTCTCCAGTTTGCGTAGATCATTCTCGCTCTGCTTTTACAAACGGCGTTACATATTCTTGACATATTGTGCTAATCGGCGTTAGCTGCACCGCGACTGGCGGCGTTCTTCGCGTTCCAGCGATGGGAGCGTTGTTCTCGAAGCGCAAAGCCGTTACCGATGTCGATAAGGCGATACTGTCGCTGCGAACGCAGAAGCGGAAGCTAGCGGAGTACCAGAAAAAGGTAGGAGCGATTTTCTTGCCGTGATTCAGGAAAAAAACAGCTGGTACCAGAAGGTGGTAAGATTGATATCATCCTTGCTATAATCCTTCGATATTTGATCTTTGTTGGTACGAAATGCGTTTTGTGTAACACTTCCTGTTAAATTCGTCTCGTTTACACCTCAACTCCACTCCAGACGGACGCAATGTTTTCTGTCCCCGTTTGAAGGTCGGTGCAGTTATCGAGCGGGAGCAGGAGGTGGTGCGGCAGATGATCAAGGAGGGCAAGAAGGATCGCGCGCTACTGGCGCTCAAAAAGAAGAAGCTTCAGACGGACGCGCTGGCGAAATCGGACGCGTGGGTGCTGCGCGTGGAGCAGCAGGTGAGCGCTTTGGGCCGGGAGGATGAGGGGAGAGGGCTTGTGGAAGGGGTGGGGTGGGGAAGGGGGGCCGGGGGAATTGTGGGGGTGGGGTAGAGCGTGTGGGATCTCGTGAAGCGAACGAGGTGGGGGGGAGAGGGGGGGGTGGTGTGTAAGAGTGATGTGAAGAGGGCAAGAAGGACCGCGTGCTGCTGGCGCTCAAGAAGAAGAAGCTCCAGACGGACGCGCTCGCGAAATCAGACGCGTGGGTGCTGCGAGTGGAGCAGCAGGTGAGCGGGCGTTGCGCTGAGCCAGAGTGACGTAGAAGAGGGGACGATGGGGCGCGTGGGAGCTGCAGGTGGAGCAGCAGGAGAAGGCTGAGTTGACCTTGAGGTAAGTAGAAGACGGGCCATCACTCAAAAAGAAGAATCTTCAGACGGACGCGCTGGCGAGATCAGACGCGTGGGAACTGCGCGTGGAACAGCCGGTGAGCGTTTCTTGAACGAGGGGGTGTCAGGAAGGGTTTCTTGAACCCTAAATGCCATGTTTGGCGCTCAAGAAGAAGCTTCAGACGTGTCCCTGCCTACAGGCGATCCTCGTGCCGTGTCCTTTCCTCTTGCCCCGTTTCCTTCCCCACAGCTGGCAGACATCGAGATTACCAGCCGTCAAGCACAAGTGTTTGAGAGCCTCAAGGCGGGGCACATGGCGATTCAGGAGCTTCAGAAGGAGATCAGTCTGGAGGACGTGGAGAAGCTGCTGGGGGAGTCGGAAGACGCCAAGGCGTTCCAAGACGTGAGTTCATAGGGCAGGTGGTGTAAGGCGCCTATTTGAAGCACGGGTTTGGGGAGGGAGGTGAAGGTGTCACGGATTTTTCGAGCTGCTGCAGAAGGAGATGAGTCTGGAGGACGCTTCGCGAATCGGAAGACGCCAAGGCGTTCCTAGACGTGAGTGCATTGTAGAACAAATAAAGCAGAGCAGCGCAGGTGGAGTAGGTTATTGAGGCACGTTGAGCAATTTTTTAGGCGCCTCAGACGGCACAGGCACGCCTGAGGCGTCACGCGGGATCCTTTCTTCCAGTCCGCGCCCAGCTGACGGCAGCAGCGCTAGCACTATGAGGCACGGTTCAGCCCAGCGCACCCCTTTTGCACCGATTTCCATTCCCTCGACCAACGTGCCTGGTGCGACCGCTACTTTTTCCAAGGATGCGACGCCAGTGCAAGGTCAACAGGATGGAGCGACGGCAAAGGCGGCCCAAGATGCAAGCAGGCAGGCAGGGATGGCAGAGGCAAGCACAATGCCATGTATTGTGTCGCCGCCGCTGCCAGGCGAAGCCATGTGCATGCATCGGGTGCTCAGGATGAAACCCGGGAGGATGCTCTCTCAGCACGCGGAGCAGGCTGCCAGCGGCGGCGGCCGCTGGTTGTGCTTGCGCGTGCTGAGAGTGCATCCTCCCGGGTTTCATCCTGAGTGCCCGATGCTCGCACATGGCTTCGCCTAGCAGCGGCGGCGAGGCCACATATGGCATTGTGCTTGCCTCCGCGATTTCCGCATGCGTGCGTGCATCCCGTGCCGCCTCTGCCGTCGCTCCATCATGTTGACCCTGCACTGGCGTCGCATCCTTGGAAAGAGTAGCGGTCGCACCAGGCACATTGGTCGAGGGAATGGAAATTGGAGAAAGGGGTGTGCTGGGCTGAACTGCGCCTCATAATGCTGGCGCTGCTGCCGTCAGTTGGGCGCGGACTGGAGAAAGAAGAGCAGAGCAGGTGGAGTAGGTTACTGAGGCACGTTGAGCAAATTTTTAGGCACGTGTCAGGGCACGGAGCAACACAACACAGGAGCTGAGCTACAAAAGAATATTAGTCTGGAGGACGTGGAGTGGAGTGGTGAAGTGACGGGCTGAGCGGAGGATGGGGATGGGGTGAATGAATGGTCGTAGTAGGTCGGCATGTAGTAGCGACGGTTGGATTGCATGCATGGCACATCCATGGTTGGGTCAGATGAACGAGAAGGAAAGATTGTTTGTTAAACTAAATGTAGCAATGGTTCTATCTGTCGCTCGTCTTCTCTCTCGTTCTCTTCTTTTTTCTCTTCCCGTTTCCGTTTTGTCTTCCTGTTCCATTTTTTTTTCTCTTCCTCCTCCCCTTCCTCTTCCTTCTCCCCTTCTTCTCCCTCTCCCTTTTCTCATACTCTTCCCACGTCCACCGCTCTCCACCCCTTCCAACCCCCCTTCCACCGCGCCCTGCTATCCTCCCTGCGTCAACCAATCAGGAGGTGGCTGCCATGCTGGCGGGTGCGCTGTCAGAGGAAGCTGAGCTGGAGGCTCTTGCTGAGCTGGAGGCACTGGAGACAGAGGTGAGGGTGGGAGGGGTGAGAGAGAGAGAGAGAGGTGAAGGAGGGAGGGGTAAGGGAGATAGGTTAGGGTGCAATGCATACGCAGCTCTTGCTGAGCTGGAGGCACTAGAGACAGAGGTGAGAGGGGGAGGGGTGAGGGGGGGAGGGGTGAGGGGGAAGAGGGGTGAGGGGGAAGAGGGGGTAGGTAGGGGGAAGAGAGGTGAGGGGGGAGAAGGGTGCAATGCACCGGCAGCTTTTGTTGAGCTGGGGGCACTAGAGACAGAGGAGAAGGGGGGGGGGGAGGGGGTGAGGGGGAAGAGGGGTGAGGGGAAGAGGGGTGCAATGCACCGGCAGCTTTTGTTGAGCTGGGAGCACTAGAGACAGAGGTGAGGATAGAGTGGTGAGGAGAAGAGGGAGAAGTGCAAGGGAGGGAGACAGGTTGGGGTTGTGGGGGGGGAGAGAGAGGGGGAGGGGGGGGGGGTGGAGGGGAGAGAGAGGGGAGGAAGGGAGAGAGGGGTGGAGGGGAGAGAGAGGAGTGGAGGGGGAAGAGTAAAGTCAGGGGAAGATTAAGGTGAACGGGGAGAGGG